TAGATCCACTTATAACTTAACATTTGTGAGGAGTGATTTTGTAATGCATCTTCCTGGGAAAATCTACAAGATTAAACTGCTATCTGGGAGCCATTTTATATTACTCTCTGCTTGGAATGACCTTGGGCTGATTTTTTAGGTATTGTTTTTCACCACTCTGAGAGTAAAGGGACTATATTTCACTCTCACTTAGGTACTCTTGAGTTATCAGGTCTCTCATACCATCTAAAATAAAAATCATAACCCTTTGCAGTCCACTTTGTGTGTTTTATGAATGCTGCCTGAGAAGCAACATCTCATTTACAAGTGGCACCAGAAGCTTTAGTAATCTTCCTCTCAGCCAAGTATATCTAATAACACATGAATAACATAAATTATAAACCCAAGACAAATAGATGAGTTAATTAGTCTTAAAAACGTTGAGGGTGTGATTGCAGTGCTATGAAGCTCTGTGAATGCTGCCCTGAGATTGGCACTGCTGGCACAAAGGCCATTTCCCATCAGAGCTGTGCAGGCACAGAGGTCTCTGTGATGGTGTCACCAGGTGATGCCCTGTGCTCAGCACCTCGTCTCCAGTTTGGCTAAGCACCTTCACCTAGGCATTAGCACTGCATTTCTTCATGGCTTTAAGGGGAAGGAGGGCAGATTTAGATTGCCCTAGGATATTAGGGAGAAGCTCTTTACTGTGAGGGTGGTGAGATGCTGGCAAGAATATTGTTCAGAGTAGTTGCTGATGAGCCCTCTCTGGAAGTGTTCTATGAAATTATTTGACCTCAGTGGGGATGGATTATGTGTTCACTTCATTAAGGGTTTTTTCCCTGGAGTGAGTCCAATTCTTTAGGATTATATCCCCAGAGATGAATCCTTTATGTCCAGTGGGAGTTCAGCCTACTGGGGATGGCTGAGAAAGGATAGGTTCTTCCTGGCCATGCTTGGCTTCTCAGTGCATGTTGCTGTGTGCTTAAATGAAGAGTCTCTATATTTTTTTCATTTCTTACTCTGCCCAAAAAAGGTTTCTTCCTTCAGGGTCAGCATGGAGTGCTGAGGAGTGTCTTCATTTCTGACCTTATGGAGTATTATAGAATTAAAAACTAGTGTCTCATCTCTCACCACTTACTGCAGAAGTCTCCTATAGCAAGTCAAATGCTGTGACTGTAAAAATTTATTAATCATGGGCATTTTTACTTTTTATTTTTTTCCTTTGTAACACTAGAGAAATAGAAAGGAAAATAAAAGCTACAATTAAAATTAAGATCAGTTGCTGCAGTTGAAAGAGACAGCACAATTGTAATATGTTAGAAAATTGCCTTGTTTTAGAGAAAGTGCTGATTAAGATCAAATTTGTCTTGAGTTTAAATTTTGATTGGATGTAAACTGAGGGGAGGGGGGTTATATTTCAGACACAGTACAAATGATGCATGTTAATATCCTCTGTTTATTGCCACTTGAAATTGCAGCATAGCTTTGAATTGCTGCCAAATCTACATTTAAGACTCCCAAGTAATCACTATGATTATTCCAAGTCTTCATGGTAACAGTGAAAGAAAAAGTCTGATATGCAGAGAACTGTAGCCTAAACCATCAGAATCTTTTCATTCTTTGGGGCTTAGATTGTGATTCCACTCATAGTAGGAATGGTTAGACAGGCATATTGGCCAATCAGTCTTGAAAGAGTGATTAAACAAATGGATTTAATTATGTTATTTTCAGATTTGTTTGGTTTTTCTGTTAACTCCTGCGTCACTGACTTTTCCTGTAATGAGGAAAAGCATGGCTTTTATTTAGTTTTGGAATGGTTGAATTCCTATATTGGCATGGTGTGGTATTTTCCTTTTTTATCGAATTTTTTTCCTTTTCCCTTTGCTCATCTATAACAGATACTATTTTTACTCTTTGTCTTTACAATCCATAGGGCTGTTTATCCATAGGGCTGTTTATCTCCTTGAAATATATATATTTTTTTTTACTTCTGTGTAGCTACTGGCAGTTGTAGACTTATATAAGACCTGAATGTATACATGTGTTATTGTGGTTTATTTAGCTGGATGGAAATTATGTACTGATGTCTGAGATAAACAACATAATATAAAGCTACAATTGAAAAAAACCAGCAGAATCTCACAGGAGTGAGAAATGATATGGAAAATGTTTAAAAGGAGCTCAAATTTATCTGTGCTTAAAATCTGTTCTGGTTTTTAAATGCTCAGTTATTCAAGGAAGAAGTTTATTTTGAGGGAAAGCCATCACTGCTAGCTGGCTCTCCAGACAGTATGTCCCAGTTGCATCCCTTCATCAGCTGCTTGCAGGAGGGTTTTGCTACTTGTTCCACTTACAAAGTAAATAAAACTTGCTATGGAAAGCATCTAATGTGGATACAATATTTACTCTGGAGCATTTTCCTAAATAACTAGTGTTAGCCAGCAGGCAAGTCTGAGCACCCGGTGTGTTAGCTGTGGGAGGAAATCTGTATGTCTGACACATAATGATCAGTTTAAACTATTGAAATATAAATCACAACACTGAGGGAAATTCAAAAATATTTATTTAAATGAATTATGATGTGTGTGAATAAAAGAATAGTTAGCAACCCTGCCATATATGCTTGCAAGTCTACAATCTGTAGGCTATTTTTTAAATGGATTTAACTCCAAAAGATACATAATATTTTTTGAAGGACAGCATTAGCAAATATCACAGCGCATTTGCATTACATTATAACAAACATCTTCCTTATGATTTCAGTGCTGTTGAGTCCACATTATGAAACTTTGCCATGCCTATATTTAAGCCTCATTAACAGTGAAAACCACTCCCTATTTTATGCATCTCATTCCTTTATTATTTTGAAGCCATAATTTTGATATCTTTGGAAGTGTACGATTTATAGGGTCAGGGAAAAAAAAAAAAAAGCAAGGGAGTATTTCTGTGGTCCAGAGATTACTGTTCTGGTCTAGTGCAGTTGATGCCTTTTCTGGGAAGCAGGTCCTTCTCTCTATGTTCTGGTCACGAACCAACAGGAACGAGCACGATGTACCTCTCTCAGCAGGAAAATAGTTTGAATTTATTTATTTCCAAGAGAAAATAGATATTTTAAGCCTAAGTCACAGACGGGAGTCTGGCAAGTAAGTACAGATGTCTGTGCTTGGCATAAACACTTCTTCACTCCCCCTTGAGATGCAGGCACAAGGACAGGGCAGCACATGGCAGCCACATTCAATTTCAGGTTCATGCCATGCCTGCTGCAGAAAACCTAATAAATGAGTGTGTCACAAGAATCTCTGAATGCTGTATCTAGGCCACCAGCAGCTACTGGTGGAGTGTAGATAGCAATGAATTAAACAGACACGGAAGGGACAAAAAGCCCGAGAGACAGAAAGCCATTGGATACAATAGAAATAAGAGAAGGCATTTGTGAAGGTGTCATTTACAGAGACTTTCCAATAAAAATGTCATTTTCTTTCTCTTGGGTAAATTATATCATTAAAAAATACAAGATTTTACAAAGTAATGGGTTATTATTTTGCTCTTCTTACTGACCTAGTCATGCAGCTAATGGAATAGATTTACCTTAATATGTGCTTTAGTGTGGGATTTCAGCACTGGACCATGAACCCTGAAGTATCTGCAGTTGTCTCTCTTGTTCAACGATGTATTTCAATAAGTGCCCTATTTGAGGTATATGAAAGCTCTAGAAATTAGTGCCACTGTGTATGTGCTTCAAGGAAAAGTGCACATGCTTAAGTTACTTGTCAAATTGGAGCATCTATAAATGTTGAATTTATAGTTTTCCCCCCAAGACCAATTGCGGTAAAAGCTCAGCCCAGCTGTCATATCTGTATAATTCATTAGAAGTTTCAGAATTTTAACTTCAGCTCTGCTCTAAAACAGTGACTACATTAAAACTGTACTGTTTTTGTTAATCTCTTTCCTTCTGTGTATTCACATTATTGTGATTCTGTTTGCATAAATCATTGCCATTTATCTCTGTAAGCAATTTACAGTCACTGTATCACAGTGATCAGTATTCTGTGGTGTTTTCTGCAGCATTTGCTGAATATTCTAAATACATTTTGAATTAAGGATTTTTTCAAATTGTTTTTGAAGTATGAGCTAGAGAGAGCCCAGTTGGACTTCAAAAATCCTGTTTGTTTGCAAGCTATCAGTTGATAAAGGCAGATTTTTGAATGACAACTGGACTTTTTTGATCTGGAAAAACAATCAAAATGGATCCTCACATTGGCAGTTTTAGAACCATGATGTTATAGCAAAAGGTGAAGAAGTTGAAATTACTGAAATTCTAAATAAATTATGTGGGGAGAATTTCTTTGTTACTTAAAGCTTAACATAAAGATCACCCAAGGAAACAGCTCAAGATATTATCTTGAGTCAAGGCATTGTTTGGACCTGAGAAGGAAATACAGATGATTTGTTGGCATATTCTTCTGCGTCAAAGTGAATTGCCTTTTTATTCAAAATTTGTCAGGAAGAGGAGATGATGAAACAATGGAGAGATATTATAAAGAAGTTATTTCTCCTCAGTCATTCTTCTGCTATGGCAATGATTGCTTTTTCATTTAGTAGCCTCACTAGATAAAGAGATATATTTATATAAACATGTTAAAATAAGTCATTACTGGTAGTATTTTCCTTTTTTTTTTTTTCGTTAGTCCGGAGATTTTATCATGTGGCCTCATGACCTTTGTATTAGCACCAAAACCCAAGGCAGTCATTCTGAGCAGAGATGAGAAGCATAATCAGTTTGGTGTGGATTCCAAGAGAAGTCATAGAATGTAACATTCACAGGTTTGGTCAGGGAAGATTAATAAAATCTTACCAACGTTTTATCTTAGGTGATTTGACTTTCTTGTCTGCATAATTTTGATATGTAAGATAAGATGTGTACAAAATCTGACATTATTACAAAAAAAAAAAACAAGGCTCTGTTTTCTGTTACAGAGAAATCAGGCTTCTGAAGGCTTCTTGTTGTTTTTGTCTTTTAGATAATTCTTGTAAGTTCTTCCCATAATGACCGTGACCAAAGCCTTTTCATAAGCACAGATGAAGGAGCCACTTTCCAGAAACAACCCATTGCTTTCTTTGTGGAAACTCTCCTTTTCCACCCAAAAGAAGAAGATAAAGTACTTGCTTATACCAAGGAAGGCAAGGTAAGGCTTGAAGATACAGCATTCCTTTGAAATTTAGGAATTTCTCTATTAAATAAAGTAATTCTGACATGCTGCTTAGTGTTGGGTTTTATGAAATAACAATTGCCCAGAAGCTAATCATGTAGTGATTTCTTAGATTTATTTAAATATTTATTTAATTGATGTCCAAATCTATGTGGTTATGGTAGTTTCAGTCCTGGAATTTTCAGTTGTTATGGATGTTGGGAATATTTATCCTTCTGCATAATACAGTTAAATAATAATGAAACATGCTCCTCCCTAGAAAGTGACCATAAACAATTTCTAGTACAGTAGCAAGTTAATGAAGTTGAAATATTGCCTCCACAGGCTGTTCATAGAATATAAAATAAACTCATACAAAACAAGCTACACACTCACATAGAAGAATAGGATTTGTAGAATCAGTGACTCTGTAGAAATGTACGATAATGATCTCCCTTATAGTGGCTTTGTACCACTTTCAAATTCAGGAGCTGTTACTGTTTGTTAATTTTTATCCTCTTTCAGATTTCTTGTGGTTAAACTGTGAAGTCAACTTTCTGGGTGGGTTGGGCTAAACCCTGATGAGTGTGCGCACCATCTCTAAGTGTGTAGCTCATCTCTTTTCCACAGTGCCAAAACTGCAGCTGCAAACTCACTGTCATTCCAGCCTTGACTCACTTTCACCTTTACTCCTGTTTTAAACTTAAATTGGTAAACTCCAGTCAATTTTACCCTCATCATACCTCACAGAAAGTGATTATTTAGGTGGTGAGATTAGTCTGAGAAGTTGCACATACTGCAGCCAAATACTGCACTGATTCCAGTGATGTTATACCAAGTCACCCTTTTGGACATGTTTTTGAATATATAAGTTAACAGCTGATCCCAAACCAATTCATATTTACAGGGGTTTGCAAATAAAGGTAGAACTAGAATGAAAAACAAAGCAAACCAAACTAAGTCACAAATTGAACCAAATATTTTACTTTGCTTTGGTTTGAAATCCTAACACAATTACAAATAATTTGAATGCATGTTATGTAAATAAAATACATCAGGGAAGCCTGAAGTAATGAAAAGCCTTTGTTATGAAAATATTTTTTTTCAGTTTGGCTTTTGTTACTGACAGTAAATATAATTACTGAATTTTTTATAGTTACAGAGTGGCAGAATCATGAAGTGTAAGAGCCCAAAGGGTATGAACATGTCCAGCCCACAACAAGAGGGTAGAAGTGTTTGTCAGAAGAGAGCAGGACAGGGAAGTACAAAGTGAAGCAGTTGATTTGTGTTTTGATCAATTAAGCATGTTAGGAAGATTTTCAGGCATTTTATAATTGGATAATCTCCCAAAAGGAGTGAGGCTACTGTTTTCCATGCTTAAAATGTGACTGGACCAAAAGAATAAAAAAGGAACTATAAAAATGATTCAATAAGGAATAGTTCTGCAGGAGTAGCTGGAAGGGTTAGGTAATCTGATGGACTTTCTCAGGCTTTCAATGACACAAAAAAGAGTCAACCATAAAGACTTCCTTGACAAGTCCTACATCTTTACCTTGGATGTGTAGGAATGAAGGATGCCTTTAACTATAACTGGGTCAGTAACCTGCTTATGTTTTGTATGAAACCTGATCTATTTGGTCTAGAAGGGAGAGGAAGATAAAGTGGTATTTGCAGAGAAGGGTTTGAAAATCAAAATTGCAACTTGACACAAGAAAAGGTCACTGTACTAAAATCAATGATCTTGAGAGATAGTGTTGATCTGAAATTGCCCTGAGGAGTCAGTACACTCTAGGTTTTTTAGTTGAGTAACTTTACCTTCCCTAAAAAAGGTAGTATCAAAATATAATGCAATCTAAAACTCTAAACTGGAGGAACTATTAGCTTCTGTTACTCAAATAATTTCTAACAAAGGCACTTTGTAAGAGACTGCAAGGAGACTGCAAGGAATGCAAGGAATCAGGTCCTTCATAAATAGCAGTCAGCAAGGCTTCTTTGTCTATTGGAGCATCTTGGCCTTTTTCACAACTTTTGATTCGATTTAGGGCTTATTTCATATTGCAAAATATGCGTTGTTCTTTCATTCAGAACCCTAGATTCTGTTTAAATAAATCTCTAGCCTCTAGCTGACACCATAAATGAATGCAAATCCAGTCAATGTGGTTGGATTAATCCATTTACTGCCTCAAATCTATACACTCTTTTTCTGCCAACCCCTCAGTTATAATGAATAACAATCATCTATTTGCTGAGCCTACATAAATGCTTCTAGATGTTTTTAAAAAATTGTCAAGGATGCAATGGATTTAATTTTTCACTTGGAAGCAGAAAGGATGAAGTAATGGTAAAACAGAAAAATATTTTCAATATTTTTAAAATGCTTCTCCACATATTTATTGAACAAGTGAGCATAGGCAAAATTATAAGACCTATTAGACCTGTTTGCTTCAGCCAGAGATTTTAGCTGTCTATTAATATAATTGTTTTCACATCCTATCTAATCTCATTTAATAGTTTTATCATAAGTGCCTATTAAAAAAATACATATGGATCACTTGGGTTTTTTAATGCAGTAAGTTCAATGTGTACATAAGTTATTTTTTATCTCCGTGTTATTTTTTATATATTTCATATACTGTATCAGTTAAAATTTCATTTGAGTTTGAATATGCCTTTTTAGTCCTACTTCACTCTCCCTAACAGTGAGATTGCAGGGCCTTCTTCCCTCTGCAGAAAGCCAAACTGTTCACTCATAAGGTACCAGACTTTGATCTTAACTGTGTGTGTGAGCAGATAGTTTGGCTTTGGGGAAGTGGGAGTGGATTTGGTTTGACCTTTGGCTTCTCTTGTACAGGTGTCTCTGTTCAAAGAGCAAGAATCTTTCATTTTCTGCTGAAAATCACTGATGACAAAACTATATCCCTTTGTTCATGTGCCAGTGTTGTCCCTAATCCTAAACAGTTCTCTTCCCTCTTGCTGGGAATATCTGAATTCTGGGCTTTCTTTGCAGCTCAGACAACAGGGTTAGGATAGTGCATTAAATGATCATCTCTCCCAGATTTAAGCAGTCCACTGAGGGAGGTTACTCAGTGAGCAGGGACTGTTTAGAAAAATGGTAAACCCAATGGTTGTCTTCTCTGCAATGCCTGTGGTCACAGGTGTTTGAAGAAGTAAAGCAGCTCAGGTTCTTCACCCTGCTCAGTCCAGTCCAGTTCATTCACAGCCACATCCAATCCCCCAAAGAGGTTACTCAGAGCAGGATGTTGTAAAATTTCCTGATTGCAGCAAATCCTAAGCCACATAAAATTAATAGCAAAAATTTAGCAGCAAATCAGGAGCCTGGCTCTGCAGCCCCATCATTTAGATCTGAGGATGAAGATTTTTTGATCCCCAATCATTTCTCTCTGTGCATTGACTGGATCAATGAGCGCTCTGAGTCCTCATTGTAGTTTCCTACTCTGTGGTCTGTCTACTTTAATCAAGTGTGCAATGGAAGGAACCTCAGTTATTGTGAAGTGCAGATAACTGGGAAATTCTCCTTTATCTCTAATTCAAACTTCAGTGAATTTACCCATAGAGTTTATGCTGCATTACCTCAACCTTTATCTTTGCATATTAATATTGCTGTTTTTCTATAAGAGAACATAATACAGAACTGTGGGGGCTCTTTATCTTTTGTCATTGAACCTATCATTTTAAAACATAAACATTCCTGACTACTCCTTTTAAGATACTTTCCCCCAGAACATTCAGTTACTGAATTGGTGAATTCTACATCAGAGAAGAACAGTTTTATTTGCCTTTTTATCCCTCTTATTAGATATATCAAGAGAAAACCCATCTTATGTAAATTGGATCAAATAAGAAATGCATGCAGACAGCGGGGGGCTTTAAATCTGTCTTTTCAGAAGTCTGATAGAAACTTCCTATTTTAACTAGAGGAAACACATTTTGAAGGCAAATACTAAAGGAAGGAGATTTGTTAAGAGCTATTTTAGATCCCACATTATTCTGGGGGAGAACATCTTTCATCTGCAGTTTGGATATCCATCCATATCATTAGCATTTGGGTTTTTTTGCCAGAGGGGAACTCTTTGTGGATAAGGTGGAGCTGGAATCCTTCTCCTCCAGGCCATTTTGTGCCTCTGTGCTGAAGGACCACTTCTCGTGGGTTACAAATTAGTGTCTGTGGAGCAAACCCATAAGTGCATCTTTCATCAAATCTCTTAAGCATTTCTGTAATATATTTTGGTCCTATTTTATCAGAGTTTTAAATGCACTGACTTCCTAGCTTAAGTAGTTTTGATGGCATTAAGGCTTGAAGCATAAAGGAAACATTTGTGCTTCTTTGGTCAATGAATGGGAAGAAGGAGAAGTGCCCTTTTACCATCCCTCTTGTGTAACCATGCTGAGGTAAAAAAAAAAATCTGACCCTAAATGGATTGTGTTTTCACAGTAAACAAAAAGTCATTGTTGCAACATTTTCTTTATTATAGATGATATTTTAAAATAGGTTCCCTATGAAAGGCAGTTACTCTGGAACACAAGGTACTGAGCTCCTGGTAATGTGTTTTTGGGCTTGCTTCATTTTTTTTCTTTTAATTTGTGTACAATCTGTCTTTCTAATAGTGATATAGGGCCTGTCTTTGAAGATGCACAGTATTATCAGTTTCCTATAATCTAATTTTTCACCTTCTTTTCTCCTTTTCTAGATTTATGTATCTATTGACTTGGGGAAAAAATGGAATCTTCTGCAGGAACGAGTTTCTAAAGATCATTTCTTTTGGTAAGAAGTCTGTTATTTTTGAAATAATAAAATGAGCAAAGAAAGTATTTAATTCTCATCCAGAAGATGTTTACAGAGGTATGGATGGGGATGGTGTGAGCCTTGGCATCCTTTGCAGATGATGGCAGTGATTCTGTATCCTCTATTGCAAAGTCATACTCATGCCAGGGACCATACTGAGTATCAGCACATGGAAGGGTTATAGGTCTGGATCTGTGGAGCCCAAGATTTAAAGAAAGCTGCAATGTTGAATGAAATTGCTCTCCATTTTACTGGTGACATTGATCTTTAGAAAGGAGAGGAGTCTTTTTGCAGAGAAAGATCTATAATTTTTTTTTTAAGAGAGGCTGGATCATACCTACTAACTGGAGTCATATATACACTTGCACTACGAAGGAAACTGGTGAAAATGTGACTTTATTGAGAACATATATATCTAATTATTTCATTTTCAGCTCAAGTGTTGTGCAGGTATCTCACATTGTGTATATGTGTCTCACAAAGTATTTAAGGAGTGATTTAAACAGGTTGACAAAATGTTTGAAAAGTTATTTGTTATTGTCCTTATTTTAACAGATAATTTTTTTAATGGTATAGCTTCTTTAAAACCAAAATTAAAAGTTTGATAGTGTTTCAATTAATTTTATTTTTCAAATTGGTCAGTTTGACACTCCCACCTTTCACATTTAATTTCGGTGTGTAAGTACGTATTTTTTTATTACAGGTTTAAGTCATACTACACTAAACACTTGTGTTCCCTAAATGGCTTTTAACTTCTAAGTGGACTCTGATCCTTGTCAGTTGTGCAAAGTATAATTTTCCATATGTCTGTGGAAACGTATCCAGCTTTTGGTGGTAATTTTGTAGTGTCCTGGGGGTGTTGCCAGTATTGCAATAAATGCCTGATCTTGGTTTCATCTGTGACCCTCCCAATTTTTCATGTAGTTGTTTCACTCTTGTGTTGAAAAAAATACTCATCCTGGCCCCACTTGGGGTAAAAAAAAAGCAACAGAACAAAACTTGCACAAACTGATTACAAAGCACACAGAGGTGTTAGGGTGCCTGCAGATACATGGCCACTGCCAAAGCATAATTTGGTGAGCCAAGGGCGTGCTGCACGTGTGCTGATGCTGCTGCTGCAGCCAGGCATGGGAAAGGTTGAGTCTGGGGCAGGGGCACAGGGACGGTTCAAACCCTGTCTGAAAGAGCTGGGAGCACAAGACCTGACCTGCCCTGCTGCCCTGTTGGTCTCATTAGCCCTGGGCACAACACACACAAGATTTTTCACACTTCCAAGTGCCTCATTTTCAATCTGCAACCTACTTACTGCCCATAATTTTATATAAGTAGCCTATGGTTGGGTTGTAGAACATTCATCTCATTTATTCCAGTTGCCCTCAACTTCATCTGCTGAAACAGTTGAGTTGAGCAGACACTTTCTGCTTACCTGCTCCTGCAAAGTATAGATTTGGACAGCTATTGAACAGCTTATTTCTGCACAGCAGATGGAGTTTCGTAGGCCATACACTTTGCAGGTCTTTTAAATACCCTGTGGAAAGGTATGATTGTTTTTAAGTAGCACTGTGTGTCAGAAATGTCATATCTGCCTTATAACCAATTCTTCCCCAGCGAGATTATATGGGATGTAAATCATGAGGGCATGTGGTTATGTCTTTAATAAAAATATTTTAAAAGGCATGAAGTCTGGAAACCATCCAAGTCAATAACAGGTAAGAAATAGTAGTGGGAGCCTCTCTCTCACAGACTTTTTCTGTTGGAGTTTTTGCTCATCTGACACTTAGCACACTTAAGTTATGAAAAATACAGAAAGCTACTGAAATGTGTCTCAGTTTTGCTCCAACCCAAATAATTTGTCTCTGTTTTCAGTATGTAAAGATTAAGGCCTATGAGGGCATGTTTAATATTAAGTCTGTATTTTGCTGTTTCCTTATGTTTCCTTATATCATTTGATAGGAATAACTCCAATGTAGTTCTTCAAAGTCATGGTTGTTCATAAATGTCACATTCCTCACAAATAAGAATTATAAATTTGAAGATTCTGTACATTTATAACCAGTAGAAATAATTTTTAGGGGGTTGTTTTTCTCTTTTCTATATCACCAGAGTGATTTCTCTCAAAAACTGTATCAGCCAGCAATAGCAAGGGTTTGGAAGCAGATGTTCAGCGCATCACTACCAAATTATCCTTCTCATAAACTTACATAGAACAAAGATCTATATTTTACTTCTTTCTCATATGGAAATTTACAATTTATAAAGAATGAGCTGTGAGTGGAGAGTTGGACATGCTTGCTTTCCAGTGGGAGTTTGTCTGTCATGTGAGACTTTCCAGTATTTCATGGCCTTTGTCACCCAAATTTTCTGAGTGATAGATAGAAACAAGTGTTTGGTCATTTTCAACAGATGTAAGAATTGGGCTTTGTAATAGCTTGACTGTAAGGACAAGTCTAGTGTTGTTTTCCTGTCAGTGTACATCTGATGTGTTAAAAATATTGTGCCAAACTAATTGTGCATCTCATGATAAATGAGGGCATGTCTCTTGCTGATCGTGGCTGCCTGTGCCAAGAACATTTCACTGGGCAGATCTTTAGCAGATGTTTCCTCTTTGATTTCAATTTGATTTTTGCCACTGAGGTTAATAATATAGCCTAAGATTTTTATTTCAGTCTGGTAACTACAAATATTATCAGTCGTAATATTTTCCTGTGCTTTGTAGAAACCATTTTTTCTGTGCCTCCAGAAGCAGCCAGATCTTCATGCATTTCCTGAAAAAGCTTTTCTTTCTGTTTTCAAAAAGAAATGAAGATCTAAATACAATTAATTTCATAGAATGTGTTATGTATTTATGTTAAGGGAAGGTCAGTCGAGACTGAGTATTCTAAATATTTATGTTCAGAAACATGTTATAGATTTATAAGCAATATATTACTATCATCTTCAAGGGCTTATTTGCTTACCAAGTGTTCTTGATCCTTCCTTAAATATATTTTTAGATTTTATGTATGGAATTTGATCTTTCATGATAGTGAAATGGAAATATTATTGGCATCAGTGGAAAGTGTATACAACCATCTCTAATTTAGGACCACAGAATATTTTCTTCTGTGATACGGTGTGATCTTTTCTCACACCATCGTAGCTGATTTTTCTATTTGATTCATTTATTCTTTTGGAAGAGAAAGCTGGCTAACCCTTCATAAGAGCTGGTCTTCTCCGAGCATTTTAGGAGGCAAAGGAGGCTTCCCAGAGGGCTGGTTGATGCCCCAGGCCTGTCAGTGTTTACGAGGCATTTGGGCAATGCCATCAACCACTTGCTTTAAATTTTGGTCAGTGTTAAATAGGTCAGGCAGTGGGACTGGAAGGTTGTTGTCAGTACCTTCCGACTGAAATAGTTTATTCTACCCTATTCTAAACCAAAGAGTTATAAAGCAAAAGCATGAGAGGCAGATTTGAAACTAACAAAAAAATACTAAGTCACACTGTAATTAAAAAGAATTGTATCAACACATAGAAAGTAAATATTATATTTCTATATAAATACTAATTAGCAATTTTTTTTTCATTTTGAGCAACTTCTTTTTCTGTAAAATTAAGAAACTTTACTTGCTTTGACCAGTTTTACTTGTGCCTACAAACTGCATTTGCCCAATGTGATGATTTCTGTTTAGGAGATGTTATAGCACCCATCCTTTATAACTGATTTTTTTCAGTTCCTGGTGCATTTGTAGCATGGAATGCAAAGATATGAGCTATCCCAGCCAAACATCAAACACCCACCCATTAGATGGTATATAACTGCTTTCGTGTGTGAAGCCCATTGTGAAAAGTGCTGCATTATGTGGTAATCCTTGAGAAGAAGAAAGAGTAGTGGAGTTTGGGATTCCTCTAGGTCTGCTGCTATTCTTCTCAGTCCCCAAGGCTTATGCAGCATTGAGAAATCCTTTTGATTTCTCAAAATAAGTCTCAGTAATACATTAGCAAGGAATAGATTGTGAATCAGCTGTCTACACCAGCACAAATATACCCTGGGATGGTAAGAAATGAATTGGTAATTACCAGAGAATTAGGCTCAACACATTTCTTTTATGACTATCTAGAGCCTTAGGAATTCTTTATCCTTGACTCACTTGGATATTTGTATCCTATGCTATGGGCATCTGTTCTTATTTTTAGCTACAGGTCTTCCATTTTCTTGAGAGGTAAAAACATAAAAATAAAAAATGATGAGTTTATTTTGATAAACAGTTGTTCTCCAGGGACAAAGTTCTGTTCTCATAATGAAATTCCATAGAGATACTCAGTCACAGATGTACCCATTTATGTCAAATGTAGTGGGTGCCTGGCTGTTCAAGGGCTGGGTGAAAGAGAGGATTTCAGCCATGTTATGTCCTGAAGGAGAGAAATGCAAAGAGGATTTCATTGAGCCTTTGCCACTGAATTTTTCACTTGTGTGTAAAGCCAAGAATCTGTATGGGCAGTTATTCTTATGTTTGACTTAATCACTTGAAAAAGGTTTTGTTTCTGTGTGATGAAGTGTGTGACTGGTTCACGTGGCAAGGTTTGGTAGCAGGAGTGTTCAGAGCTTCTGTGGGATGAGATCAGGAGCTGCCCTCATCTCAGACAGAGCCAGTTCCAGCCAGCTCAAAGGAAAACTCTCCACTGGCCACACTGAGCCTGTGGGTGAGGCTGGTGGTGCCTCTGTGATAAGAGATTAAAGAAAGAGTAAAAGGTGCACAACAGGTGTGAGAATATGTGAGAGGAACAGCATTGCAGACACCAAGGTCAGTGCAGAAGGAAAGGGAAGAGGTGCTCCAAGTGCCAGGGCAGAGACACCCCTGCAGCCTGTGGTGAAGGCCATGGTAAGGCATTATTCTACGCTGTTATTCATAAGCAATAAATTAAATTACTCTTCCCCAAATCAAGTCTGTTTCACCTGTGACAGTAATTTATGAGTGAGCTCCCTGTCTTTATCTCCACTCTTGAGCTTTTAATTATATTTTCTCTCTCTGTCCTGCTAAGATGGGACAGAGAGAGAGTAGCTTGTGAGCATCTTGTGGCCAGCCAAGGTGAACCCAAGGCAGGGAAAAACCACAGTAGCTCTTCTGTTTGGACAAACATTGCAAGAAAAACGTTTTTAAGGCATAGGAAAAAAACTATAAGAGAACGTGCTGTCTGTGTAAGGCATTGACTGAATCATTAAAGGTGTGTCTTTTGAAGTGGATGGGAAGGCAGCAAGGCCTGAAACACAAATCAGTCATAAACAGATTTATTTTTAGGCTGTATGAATCAAATAATAGGGTTTTTCTTCCTAAATAACCAGTTTGCCAAGAGTCAATGCCATTTTAAACTACTAAGTGAAAACATTTGAATGCTTTTGATCTGCTTTCTAAGCATGGCAGTGCCCTTAAGCCAATTGCTAGATTGAGGCTGCTTTTATTTACACCATCCTGCAGTCAAGTTGCAATATTTTAATTCTGAAGTGTTGTAACCACCCTGTTATGTGATCTGAAGTGTTGGTGTGTTGCACTTGTTTTATCCCACATGGTACACTTGGTCAAGAAATGCTTCTTTTCCTGGAGGAAAGCCTGTCTGAGCTGAAAGTTAGTCTGAATTTCATTGGAAAACTCAGCAGTTGGATGTAAAAGATTAAAAAGTCAACCAGAAAACCCTGAGTTTACCTAAGTAAAACTACTAAACAAACAAGTGGTCCCGGACTGCTGAGGTGAGAACATTTTAAATGCGAAGTACTTTGAGAAGAGTGGGGGAATTTTAACCAAACCAAAAGTAACCACTACTGAAATTGAGAAAAAAAAAAGATAGTTTACAAGAAAATGCTTGTTGTATTTGGAGGGGAAAAAATATTAGAATTTATTCTAAAATGTCAACCAAAAAGAAAGAAGCTGTCAGATTATCAGGGTCCATTGCATCTGTGCTTTATAAGACAGAAGTCCTATCCTAAACCAGCTGGGGAACAGTAAACTGTCCTTGTGAATGGATGTGTGGTCACAATGCTCACACCAGTAAAATGCACTTATGTTGTGGTAGTAGCACGTTTGTAAATGAAATTGAAAAAAACCCTGACTTTGTCTTACATTTCTCCCACAAAACAAAAAAGTATGAAACTGAGCTTTCCTTTTCAGAGGGCCACATAAGGTTTGTGTTCCTGTATGCATCTTGTCTGCCTGGTATTTTCAGAAGCTCAGCCGAGGGCCTTGCTCTGTGTTTAGCCTGCAGAGTATCACACAACTTTTCCTCTGGTTCATGATTTAAGCACAAGTGAAATAACTGTATTATCTTTTAAGTACTGTTGGCAGAGGAGTCCACTGAAATGAGATTAGTTTATTCTTCAGGGATATAACTTCAAATTCTCTATATTAGTTATACTCTCTTCTGGAGATTTTCTTAGCAGCTGTAAGAGATTTGGTCTTTTTTCAATAAAAGAAGAAAGGACTATTCCTAAGTGTTTTTAAAGTTGGGAAAAGGGACTTTGGAGTTCAGAAACTGCTCCATAGCTGACATTCAAAAGTAGCCTTTGAGGGTGTAACATCCTCATTGAGTAAATAGTCTCTCCTGCTAGAGTTCATCAGTACAATTGGAGTAATGAAAAACACAAATAATATTTTTGAAATATTCTGTGTAATTTATAATTAATAAATAATTATGAATAATAACAGTCTAAAGGAGAAAAGTAGTCAGGGTAAGAAAGTTTCATTCTGCAGTGTTCATTAAAACAGATCAGTTACAACTTCTTTCTCTGAAAAATTACACTGGAAACAAGATTTGAATCTACATGTGTCAGCTGCCACTGTTAGGAGGAGCATGTAGAAGTGAGATCATTGTAATTCTGAGCTGTTGAAATAAAGATGAGAAGGTAAAGATATTGACAAATACCTCAAACTGTGCTTATGAAATCATGTGTGATAAATTATAGATACAAGAAATCATTTCAGAAGTACCCAAAAACTTTCTTTGCATTATTGATGTTTATTAGCATCTCAGGCTCAGGCTCAGAAAATTCAACCCAAAAGTTTCTTTGGTTCAGCTGCCTGAGGTCCAAGACTAAAAGTAAAATATTCAACAAACATTTTCTTCCCTCAAATTGCTGACTACAGAGTTATAGCAGGTTTGATTTTGTGTTGTGGCTATCTAGAAACATAGATAACAGCACATACAGCACAAAAGTTCACAGATCCCTTCCCTCTGCTCATTTATATTTTCATGAGATAGTGGATCTAAAATCTTCTCTAACCTAACGTATTGCCTCCAAAGTGCTGAAATAGTTTGTGTTTGAGGGATCAAATTCTTAATAAATACAAGATTTTTCCATGCATTTGCTAAAAAAAAAAATCACACTATAAGTTTCTCTGACATCTTATGGCTTGGAGGGGGCTCATCTCTCCCCCTCCCTTTCCTCCTTTGGCCTGATCATTTATCTTACTAGGGAAAAACAGCATATGTGATTATTTCTGGTTGTTATGCAGCAGTGGAAATCATCCAGTTTCTTCCCCCTGGCCTGTGTTCCTGAGGAGCCACCAATTACTGAGTCTGAGTTTTAACCATTCCTCATAAATCACTGCTACTAAAACCATTAAACAATGATGCAATTTCAGTCCAAAGTATAGCTTTATGGCATTTGATTGTTAATAATTGTATCAAAATGATAATCTTCTCTTAAGTATCTTAATGGACCTTTTTAATATCTGCACTTTATCCAGCTGCACTTTATCACTCAATGGATCTCCTTTGCCTATCTTCAGCTCACATTTTCTGCCTCAATGACTCTTGCCCTGCCAGTGAAGGGCCTTGAGAAAAGTGATGTGTCTGTGGGAGTGGGGCTGCGTTCTGCTTCACGTTGTGACAGCCCAAAGCTGGCTCTGCAGAATCTGCCTGACTGATGGCAATAGAAGGGCCAGAAAGAAGCACTGTTGGGGCTGCCATTGCCAGGCTGGGATGGGAGCCCTGAGGGCAGAAAACTCATCTTTCGGCTGAGCATATTTGACATGAGAGATATTGGGAGAAAATCATCCTGTATTCCCATTACACCTTTACAAAGTTAAACAGTACCTTGATCAACTCTGACTGAATTTCTTTCTCAGGATATTTTTCTCAAAATTATTCTTCCCTTTCTTTGTCAAAGCAGAATGTATTCTTCTCTTGAATATGCTAACCAAAGATATATCAATTTGTTATGGAAACCATGTGTCAAGTTTTAGATATTTCTAATAAGAAAGGAATCTAACTCTTTTTTAGCATTAAATCTGCTTTATAGTCTCAAATGTTAAACATAATTGTAAAAAGATGCTATAGTGCTTGCCAGTGCATGTGAGTGCATATCTCTGTGTGTGTGTGTATATATCAATTTATGATTATGTCGGTTTTTTCCTAATTTCATACATATTTCTACTCTTTTTTTTAAAATTGATTCCATTTATATGCATTTTTTTAGTAGAAGAGATTCTAAAGAAATTTAAGAAAAGCATAATGTAAAGTAGAAAAAAATAAGTTGTCTATAGATGTTAGTAATAGGACATTATAAATGGGGTTTATTTTATTCCCAGCTAGAATTCTAAAGCTGGTTGGGATGAAATCCTCTCTTTTCTTCCATCCCCATGATTACTATGCTGTAGGTGGCTGTACATAACTTGATTATATTGTGTTCTCAGGGCTGTTGCTGGAGTTGACGGCGACCTTGATTTAGTTCATATGGAAATCCAGGACCCCAGTGGAGGTATGCAAATGAAAATGTTATCAATTGATACACTAGTATATAGTTATTTCTCTTTGGTTTAGAGATACTTTTTGGACTGTTTTTAAAACTAGTCAGAAGAGAAAATGTGCAAGTCAGATTCTTTCTCTGTTTATTTGTAGTCAGCAAAACTGTCCTGTTATATAAAAATATAGTGTAATTTAAAATCTACTTGTTTTTCACTTTAAGAGGAATTGATGTCAGGATGCTAAGTTCTATTGATAATGTCCATTAATAGTGCAATTAATCCTGGCATTTGAACATTAAACAGTTTTTCCTTATTTGCAAATAAAACTGGCAATGCAGTGTTAGTGCTGGGTAAGTGTCTATTAATGTGAATCATTGCACATGTCAGGTCTAGTGCAGCAGCCACCATCTCTCAGAATTTCCTCATGTTATAGCACCCACTATACTTTGAAACTTCAAAAGGGAAATAAATGAAAAAGCAGATTAGTAGTCAGAATGTGCTTAAAGAGTCACCATGATTCCAAATGCTTTTATAGTTTCTTGTTCCCTATCATACTCTTGAAAGATAATTTAATTCCTTGAATCAGATCATCTTAGTTCCTGTGCAGTCTAAAAGTGAGCCATAAAGAATGCACAGTTTGACTTGCTCTGTTCCCATAGCTTTTCTTAATTATAGCCCTATTAAAAAAATCAAAGTTATGTTAAAAGCTGAATGAAAAAAAGTCTAAATCTTTTAGCAGTGAGGTTTATGAGGCATGGTGACAGCTCCATCAGGTGTTTTCTTTAGAGACAGTGTAAGATGATTTTTCAGGGACTGAATGCTAAGGGGGTTTTGGTTGGTGGTGCATTTTGGGTGGTTTTTTTGGTTTTTTTTTTTCTTTTGGTTGGTTTTGGTTTAGGGCGGCTTTTTTGGAGGAGAGTGTGATTGGTTGGTTGGTTGGTTTGTTGGTTGGTTATTGGGTGGTTTTTTTGGTTGGTTGGTTGCTTCTTTTTTTGTTTGTTTGTTTGTTTCAGTTTTGGTGGGGTTTTGGTTTGGGTTTTTTTTTTTTTTTTGGTGGGATTCTTTTTTTATTTTTTAAGTTTTTTAATTTTTTTTTTTAAGCAGAGAAAGAAAAACTCTCATGAAATATCTCCTGGCTAGATTGTCAAGAAACTGACTTTATGCAATTAGGGTGAATACAAGCATAGCCATTGATTTTAGTGGAAACAGCATCTTTGCACTACCCATATGACAAAGAACTGTAATTTTTGTGTTGTGAACTGTAAACACCTGCAAGACTTTAAATGGTCCATTGCTGCACCAAATGTCCTTGCGGTGTTGATTTGGACATAAACTGGAGAACTTGGATTGACTCTAACTGCCTCTTAAACAGATCCAGATTTTAAAACAAATAATTGTATCCAGTGTACTGGTTTGTTCTTCTCTAATAAAAAGTCATTAAATGTGGGATGCATTTCCCCTCACACTGCAAAAGTAGTGAAGGACATGGGGTTACATTATTTGCTCTCTCACACTGTACCTGGAGCGTGGGTACCATCAGTGATCTGGGCACAAGATTGTGTAAATAACATTTGCCTCACTGTGCTTGGGCAAGTGACTCAACTGCTTTGTGCTCAGAAGCTTGTGACAAAGGATGAGCTGTACAAGAGCTTAGGGAAGGTCTTAAAGAGTCCCAGGGAAGGTCTCTAAGCCACAGCTAGTGTGAGATAGTGATTGTTGGCTCTGCTGTCTCTGATAAGAGCAGATTGTATCAAAGATGCAGTGGTGCTGTTCTAAGAATCCAGGGAGAGAAGATAGTCCTTGCTAACTGGAGAGGAAGAGAAAGGCCAAAGCCTCCTCTGATTATAAATCAGTCTAAGCTTTTGCAGCAAGGTATTAACTCTGAATATAGAAATCCTGCCCCAACAGACAAGTTCCAATAGTGTGCTAATAGTGTGTCTGAACACTCTTACAGAGCTTTGAAAGTAGGCTTTAAAATTCTGCACGCTGTCTATTAAATGCAGCCTGATTCTTTTCTCATTCATCACAATTTTATACTGGGGTTGATCTATTGATTTCAGTTATGTTGTGTCAGGCTGCCATATCTCCAAGTGAATAATTCAGCTCTGTGCATAGGTTAAGTGAGAAAAGAGGCTCCTTCTATTATCCCCACCCATGAATGGCTCATTCATCTAACCCCTAATCTCTCTGGACCAGCAAAATTTGGATAATAACAGGCTGCCTCCAGGGAACGATCTGAACTGTAAGCAGTTAATATATTCTCAGTACATTGGAGATTGAAAAAGTCTTATATGAGAGTTTAATATAATAATTCTACAACTAGCTCACCTGGCAAAGGCAGCCTTTTTCCTACATGAATAGCATTTAGTACTGCTTGCTTCTTTTTCCCTTGATAGCCCTGTCATATGTTTCTGTCTCTCTTCCCTCAGGTTATCGCTATATCACTTGCCAGATTCAAAATTGTTCTGATAAGACAATGACAGTCCCATTTGCTGGCAGCACTGATCGGGATTCCCTGACTGTGCAGGATGACTACATATTTCTGCAGGTATATATGTACCTTATGTTTCTCTGGCATTTTTGGGAGAGACAGCTCATTTTGGAATTCAAAAATAAAATTCTAAACAGTGCAACACTGTAAGGAGCAGGGTGGAATTAATGAATGATGATTTATGATTTTTTACATGGACAAAAGCATTCCTTTATCAGTCCAAACAAAAAAAGAAATTTAAAAAAAAAAGCATCTTTAGTTTGTACAACCAGTTGCCCTTTAACTATATGAAAATTTTCTAGTGGATTTTGTTACTTTTTATAAATACTCTTGTGTGTTACGTGAAATGCAAACCTTGTGTTCCTGTGATTAGAAACTCTTCTAGGTCCTTTCCAGGACAAAACACAAAACCATTCCCTGGGAAGAACCTCCAAGGACAGCCACTGAAAGAATAGTTATACAGCTTCTTCACATGGATTCTCTTCTGAAGAGGTTTTGCCAGGAAAGAACTGCTAACATGGCTGTGCTTAGGAAGCAAAATGGCCATTGCTGGGGAGCTTGGAGCAAATTAGCATGGAATCATAGGATGATTTAGTTTGGAAAAGACCTTTAAAATCTAGTCCAGTCACAAACCTAGCACTGCCAAGTCCATCACTAAACCATATCCCCAAGCACCACGTCTACAACTCATGGTGGTCCAAATTACATTGTGGTTGTTTCATTCCCAAATTACAAGACCTGCCTGCAGAAATATGGGCTGGAACTTTGTCAGCCAAGTGGCACCAGTACAGCTCAGGCACACTTGTAAGTATTGTTTTAAGTGTGTGGCACTGGTTGTGGTTTGAATTTCTCAGAGCTGCAAACTTCTCAAGGAGCAGTTATGTCCTTCTTGTTTTATTAGATTTTGCTAGGGAAGTTGCTTGTGCTTTCCTTAGTGCTCAGCTATCATTTTCCTCTTACTTTGATGAGATTTGTTTGCTGCAAGGCTTGTATATTTACTGACTTTTGCAGGAAAGCTATTTTGTAGCAATGGATACACCTCCCCACCAGTGCCTCAGTGTGCACCGGATTGGCTCCTTTCCAACTTTCCCCCCTTGAGCCTGTTTCTTCCCCAAGGACCTGTAAATTAGCAGGGTCACAAAGGATCTGCTCTCCTCTTGTTTGGCATAGTGGTTTCAAGGACCTGCATGGCTTAGAAGAATTAACATTAAAAAAAACCCCAGCCAAACAAAAAAACCAAAGAAAGCCCAACAAAAACCCATTCACCAACCAAAAGAAAAAAAAAATATATCACAACAATGACAAAAAACACCCCCAAAACTAAAACCCAATGGCATTGGGAAAGAACTTTTGGACTAAAGTAGCCTTTTTCAGATAAGATCTAGCACTCATGGCATGCATTTTGCTCAAAGCTGTTATCTGTGGCTCCCCCAGGCACAGTCTAAAAATCCATTTCATAGTGTGTAGATGCTGAGAACTTCTTCTCACCATGCAAACTTCCGGACTGCTGTGCTCAGCAAAACACTGGCTGCTTCCTCATCAAGGATTTTGCTTTGCTGGATACCGTGTACAACTGCATCCTGAGCTGTTACTCCCTTTTATGACAGACATGAGCAGACACAAAATGGAAGTGCAAGGTGGAAATGCACACATAAGTAAGAGACAGTTGCTCCTTAATGATGCTTTCGGTAATTTGGTCTCTCTAGATCTGAGACAAGTCAGTGCCAGTAGATGAGATGTTCATGTGTTCCACATAAAGGGGAAACATCTCTAGTGTTTTTCCTTTGGACTTTTCTGCAGTAAGCCACAGTATGTAATGTAAATCTTATTGCTAAATTGGTTTGCAGTTAGCCATATCTGTATTACTGGAGGATAGAAGGTGACTCTGGAATCCTGTAGTCACATCTGAAGCACAGCACCCCAGAGGTGTGAGGCAGGACAGCACTTACCTGTTCCAGTGAAACCACACATTTGAGAAACAGCATACTTCTGAAACCATTTATCACTACACTAAAGTACGGTTATATAAGTTATAATCAGACCAAGGACAACTCATGATATCACAGCAATTCCTGTCAGAAAGAGGATGGGACAGAATCCTCTGTGCAAAAAGACAGTAGAGTTTGAGACTGTCTCCCTGCCCCTGGCATTATTCATATTCCCTGAGCTGTGCAGATGTGAATCACAGTGTTGCAGGTCTGCAGTGGCCCAAATCTATTTTGGAGATTTTTACCACCTTAGAGGAAGATCTCAGCCACATTTCTTTAGTATGCTTATATCCATAAAGATCAGAAACTTTCTAATACTAATTTTTTTCCCAATTTGCACTGACAGTCAGACAGTTTCAGAGGTGATTTTAGAAGCAGGATTAAAGTTTCAAAACTGTTCTTAAGCACAGACCAGCCTTTAATACCAGTGAGGCTTGACATGACTATGTGCTTCAAGTCCAATTTTCCTCTGCCTTGCATCATCTCCAGTAATTTAAATGAATGATGTTAAAACATGCATTTAAAAAAAGCCTGTGAGCAGATGGGTAAGACTGCCATTTAGCAGTAGTTAAGCAAATGATGAGGTTTTTGGTTTGATCCATCATCATTTAACAAATCACATTCCTAAAGACCTCACATTCTTTATACCACAAAAAAAAATGCATACAATATTAAATACTTTGTTACCTTTAAAATATTCAGGCATGTGGACCTGCTGTCATATATCAACTTTATTTTTACCAAGCCAAGTTTTCATGTTTCCGGATAGGCTGTGTTTTGAATCTTGTTCCCTTTTTAAACACAAAAATTTAAGAGAAAAACAGTGGGATTGGGGTAGTATTTTAAATGGATTTCCCAAGTCAAAGAAAGATGATGAGTCTCATTGTGAAAAAAAGGTTAAATGTTGCCAAAGGCTGAGTTTTATTTACTGATATGATCTGGTGGTGCTTAAAGGTTTAGTTGGAATTATACCAATTTATATACCAGCACATTGGTGTTACATTTTTGATTAGAAAATCCAGGTGAGGCTGTGAGTTGACAATTTTCACTGATGTTTATTTGGAATATTCCTTTTGGTACTTTGGAACATTGCATTAAAAGTAATGGGTACATATTTCAGTTACAGCTTAAATGTAAAGCAGTTTTCTATCTCAGGTTCTTTAGATTTAACATAAGCTGTCACAGAGTTCTGTTTCTCCTTCCTATAGACAACATCAGCAAACAGGACCAAGTATTACGTGTCGTACCGTCGAAATGGCTTCGTTCAGATGAAGCTGCCAAAATATGCATTGCCAAAAGTAAGTGTGCATGCTTTTCTTTCTCTTTTTGCATTTGTCATCTTCTCTTTCTACCTAAACTAGTTGTGTTCTGCTCTTTTTCAAACCTCATCATTCTGAGATCAAAAGTTCTCCTTGTAAGGATTTTTGAATCCTTATTTTTATTTTGAATACTACTTTTATTTTTATTCCATTAATGTAGTACTTGTAAACCATAGAGGGGAATAATGTACAACAGTTTATTTGTCATCAGTTACTGCAGTTTTTGAGCTTTGCTTCCATGAGGCAGTGCTATACACCCAATGACAATGGAAAGATAGAGAGCAAGTGTTCTTTCAAGAATCAATTACTTTTTAATTCCACATGGTGTTGTCTGGTATAAGCATGAATACTAATAGAAGAGAAATTTGCTACTTGGTGTTTCTCTATTTCATTAAAGAATCCCAGTACTGACTTTGACTGCTCAATGAAATTGCAAGACTTGGTGAGAGGTTCTTTCAGTCTACCATATCTTCCTAGTGATAGGGTTTCTGTATTTCCATAGTAAATCAGCAATTAAGTACAGAAATTTAAATATGACTAACAGATGCAGTTGATTGTTTTGTGCTGCACACAGTGTATTTCCTAACTTTGCAGTTATAAGGCTTCTGCAGTCCTGAAGAAAAATAACTTGGAAGTTTGAAAGATCCAGCTGGATGAAACCCTCAGTAACAAGCTCTGACCTTACAGTTCACCCTGCTCCCAGCAAGAGGCTAATCTGGAGGTCTCATGAGGTTCCTGGTTTTTAATGTGATTCTCTGTGATTCTGCCACTTACTTAGCAGAGAACTTGTTTTCTTTGCATGCCTTGAATTGTATTAGTTTAATACATTACCCATCTAAGGATGGACATTATAGTACAATTTATTTCCTTTTGCTGTTATTGTTATAAAGCAAACATTCTAATATTAGATTTTTTTCATCTTAGACTTTTTTTTATGCCAGTAGAAATGGTAATCTGAGGTAATTTTAAATCACTTCATATTACCAGAATCTCAGATCAAATCCTCAGGTATTAGTTGAACAAGAATCTGAAACTTGGATATGTTCCTAGTAACACTACAGAAATATCTATCTCTCTATCTCTCTATGTCTCTATCTTGTCAAGAAATGCATAGTCAGAGACAGGTATATAGACCAACAGTAACACAAAGTTATTTCTGTGGTTTTCAGGCCTTTCAAGGCAGCCTTTGTGCTATCTTGGGGGAAATTGTAGTCAGGAAAAAAGCAGGAGAATATCCAGGTTTTGAAGGTTAAAATATGCCAAACATGGAAACCTCAAGGGACTGCAGCCATTGAACCCTGCACTGGGACACAAATAAGCAATTAAGGAGCAAGGCAGGGAAGCAGAGTGTAAACAAGGAGCTTCTGACACATTCATAAAGTGTCAGCCACAATTCCCTGGTATTTCTGTCATAGTGAGTCTGGATTGTTTGAAATAGTGCTGCATGCTCAATTCTTTGCCTTGGAAAATATGGCTTTTGTTTATTTTTCTCTCTCTTTTTTTTTTTTTTTTTTTTTTTCTCCTTGCTAAGTAGATTACCCCAGGCCTGACTGAATAAATAAATTGGAAGTTAATGGTTTCATTTTGGATAGAGTCTATAGCTACCTAGGAACAGGTTGACTATGTCATTTTGAAAGGGATGTTTTTGTGCTCTTCCTAGTTCAGACAATACCCAACAAGAGGAATAAAGTAAGTATTATCTCTTCAGCATTTTGATAATGCTGCCAGGAGATGTTTCTTTGGTATCTGAACAAAACAGAGTTGAAAATTTCAGGAAGAAGCCTGGAAGCCAGAAAGACATTTAGAATAATGGTGAATATGAAAGATTTTAACCCTTTCTAAGACATTTTCTTTTAAGTGATTTGGTACCTTCAGATTAGAACCGAAATTTTACATACTGAAGTAAATATGAACACAGCTCTAAAATTTTTCACAGTGCTATATTTCAGTGAGAATCATCCAAGTGCAGTAGAATTGGATCATGGAACTTTACTAAGACACAGGATATCAGCAAAGACACTGACACATTAAATGTACATTTAGAACATGTGACTTTGAAGCTGCTTCTTTTATGGTGGTTGGAGATAAACAGAATGGAAGAATTTACAAAGTATGTTTTTTAAGATTGATTAAAACCAATAGCTTTTGAAAGATCTGAGTTTCAGAGAGTTTTAAATATTAGATTTTGCTTAACCAGGAGATGAAGCATGACTATAACAGGCTATATTTCATTTTTCATATTTCATTTTTCTCAAAAGCATGAAATGAAGTGTCAAAAAAATCTCTTTCCAAGTGGTCTCTGTACAGAGTTTTTGAGCAGTGATTGTATACAGGGAAGGAAAACTGTAGCTAAGTCAGAAGATGCTCTAGACTGGTCAAGGTTGTGTCTAACAACATCAGGAGAGCTGTGCCAAAATGCAACCTCTAGCCTTATGGAACTGGGCTGGATTCTTCAGACGCAATTCTTTTGCTTCATAAATTCCTTTCATGATGATTTTGCATATAGAGATAGAATGAGCAGTTTCAGACTGAACAGTTAAAAAATGGTTTTGATGTCTCATTTTCCTTTCAATATAAAAAGGTTGGAAATCTGCAAGGAATTTATTCTCTTTTTTTATATTATTTTCATTTGTGCTTTTGTTTGTTTTTGTCCAAATGCATCCCCAAAGAGAAACCTAGAAAATAATGGTGTGTCTTTGGACATATTTACAGTCCTTCCTACTTGCGAATGAGAGGCTGCTAAAAGCAGCTTCCAACCAAGCTTTACCTCTGTTAAGTTTCTGGGCTCCAGCTCCACAGTGCCTCTGAGATCACCTTTTTGTAACACATCATAGCTCTGTGTGTGTACAGACAGCAGAGCCATTGGGGGCCATCAGGGTTCAGATAATTTTTTTAACCTTTCTTCTGTGCTGTTGAGAGATCTTTTTCTTTTTGTAACACTGTGTTTGATACTGACATTGCATGGAATCCCACAGCTGTCTCCTGCATTTGACAAGTGCTGGCTGCTGCCAGGAAAGGTGGAAGCAAAAGCTGATGAGACCATATCAAAGGTTGCTTGTATGCTCCCCAAAACAGAAGAGGAATTTTCAAACTACTGTTTTCAAACTGTTGTTTTAAAATTGAACTGTTTTTTATACTGTGTTCTATTTTATCAAGATTGCTTGTTCTGCGCTGCTAAAACTAGATCAGAAGTTGAGAACTCTTAGGAAGTGAATTCCAAAATGAAGCCAAGGGCAGCAGGACAGCATTTGTGTGTCAGCTTGGCTGGTTAGGCATCCAGGAGTGTCCCAGGGGAATCCAGCAATCCCCCCCGGGCTGTTTTCAGCCTGGGGCAGAGGTTCAGCTGCCACAGCTGGGAGGGTCAGGGGGCACAGGGGCACAGGCTAAAGCCCCATCCAGACTGTCAGCACACTTGTATTGCACAAGTTCCTGCAGCCCTGATTGCCCTCTCCTTTAGAAGTGCAATTTGAAGAGGGAGAGAGGGAGCAGTACATTGGGTCTGGTCCTTGTTCAGGTATTTGAGTCATGCTCTGATGTGGGTAACAATAAAACTGGGAACTAGTTCATTCCGAGAGTTTAGGCAAAAGACATTGTTAACAAAATTTTTGACCAAACCAAGGAAATTGCTACAAATTAGGGCAATTTTACTATTGCAATTTGGAATAACTTAATTATTCTGAGTCCTATTCCCATCTCTCTTAAATAAATCCCATTGATAATGATCTCCCTTTAAGAACTGATACAAGGCATTGATTGATTCTGCATTCATTCATGCCTCCTACAAAATCTTAATGATGCAAGAGCTCTATTGTTTGTTATATCCTGCTGCAATTCAGAAAGTTTAGTTCTGAAAATATATGGTATGGGAAAAGCTTCTTTCATCTTTTTCAATCTCTGTATCTATTTTATATCTTGTGAAATAGGCAATAATGTAAAATTTTTCAGGTAACCACGATAAATAGAAGTATAGGGTAAGAGCGAACAAAAACAAAAGAAGAAAAAATCCAATTGCCTTAGAAATAGGTTGAAGTCTGTATTTTATTCATGGCGATATGAATCTCCTAGAGATGCCTTTTATCAGATCCATGTATTTTTTTGGTTTGATTATCACATAGTCACCTCAAAGCATGCCCACCTCTTCCTGGCTTCAGTCTGAATCACAGTTTTAACATAGACTTACTTCTGAACACAGACAACACTGTTTTAGCCATAGACTTATTTCTGAAATTGTCTGTATCATTCAATAATAGATCTATGACAATCCTTAAATGGGTCTATCCATTAACAGCAGAAATGGTAGAAGATTCCTGCAACTCTTTTTTGTGATGTTCTCCAAGGATTTGGCTGCCTGATGGTTGGATTGCAAACTACTGAGTCTATGGCAGCTCATTTGCAAGGCTCTTAGTCTCCCAATAATTTTTGTTCTACTTGGGAAGCCCCTTCACCACCTCTGCCACTCACACCCTGGGAAGCTTTGGCTGAGGTTATTCCCCTGTACCAGGCAGAAGAGCAGTTTTTAGTGGCAGCTCCATTCTTCTGAAAGTCCACTGGAATGGCTGTTGAGCAAAGAACAAGAGGGAAGAAAGTAGAAATGCAGGTGGTAGTGACATTTGCTGCAGGGGAAATATTCCTTTCCCAGGCAGTGTCACCACAGCAGCCAGTGAACCTGAGCTATAGCAGTTGTCTGACTTGCTGGGTGTACAAATCCATCTGAGGAGGATTCAAGGAACTGTTCTTTTCTTCACTGTGCAACTTATTGATTTCTCTCCATGAACTTTTTTGCTCAGCCATGCAAGGAAGATTAGGAGGATTATCTTTGGGATATATGCCATCCAGTTACCTTGACTGTGCTTGAGAGATTACAGGAGTATAGATGTGGTACATCTGGAGGTCAAGACTGAGACTACAGAGCCTTGAGTCCTTACATCTGTTCCACTACTGATACATTTACTCCTCACCATTCTCTGTTTAGTACATTGCTTATTTCATGTTAACATTTTGCTCAACCACAGCATCAAAAGATTGTAAAGGGGCAGAATTTTGGCATCTGACCAATAATTGTTGGATTTAAACCCCAAGAATTTTGAATGATACTTCCTATGTTATCTAAGGCTAAGGAGCACTGGCAGGCTGTACAATCTTTGTCATCTTTTGTAGCCTTCTGTCTTCAGGCTGTAATTGTACTTATTTGTGTCATACAGTTTCTTATCACAGTTAGTAATATGGTAGACCATACTGAACATTTCTTGAATATAAAATTCTGTAAAGTATTTGCAGGCTTATAGACTGGTTAGTTACTGAATGTAGATGATATGTGTCTGTATACAATGAAAAAAACTCATTCCTCTTCCCTTCCTTCTTTAAACCTCTTTCCTTCTTTCCTGCTATCCTCAACTGCCCCACATCCAGCTCTGTTTAATAGCTTTAGGCCTTTTGGACTAACTTTTGATTGGGTGTTCTTTCAGCTTTATGTGATAACAGACTTGACTACATTAAAAACAGGGAATTAGTTATGGAAACACTGTTGGTCTCTCTGTGTTAGAAGTAAAGAAATAATTTTTAAGCAGTGTTTTCAGGAAGAAATATTTGATTGTGTCTGTGTACTTGATGGAAGAGTTCTTGGGTGTCTGTGCTCCAGGTCGTGGCTGAACATGCCCAGTTCTTTCAATGCTTTATGTACACCATCAGACTCATTGATTTAACAGACCATGTCTGTTCCATGTGATATGTAGTTTCTTTGAAGTGCTGCTCATCTTTTGGAACAAGTTGGCCTTCTGCAAATGCCTAATTATTTTGGGTATCACTTTGAAACTCTCTTTGTGTTATTTGTTTGTTAATTATGTTCTCTGCCATTGATGTAGTACAAACACGGCAGCTTACAAGTCCCTGAGAGAGCAGGAGTGACATGACCTGTCACTGGATGCCTAACTTAATCATGACAAATTTTAATATGAAGTCTTTGATCAGGATTCATTTAGCATTTTTTTTGTAGAAAAAGTAATTCTGATTCAAAAGATCTCCAGCTGTCCTTAATTCTAATTCCATGGGCTGGTTCACTGCTTTGGACCTATGAGTAGTTTCACAGATTTTTAGTGATAAATATACATATTTCTGTGCTTAGTGTGGTCTAACATGTCCCATTGAAGAGGGAAGGATGAAGAAAAAATTGTGACAAAGGAATTTGCAAAATAAAGTGCACAAGAAGCACCTTGGTAAGCAAAACAGAGGAATCTCATGGGGGCTTAGAGGTTTTAAAAAAAAAAAAAAAACCAAAACGACAAGAAGTTTTGGGCAATGCAGCTCGTAGAACCTCAGAACTGTGCAAAAGCTTACAGCCTAAGAAGAGATAGAAGGAGAATACTGGTATTTGGGTATTACAGACTATGGCTGATACCAGCTGACATTGGCAAGCTTTGCAAAAACAAAGAGAATGAGGAAAGTGAAAACGGCAAGAGCACGGATACTTGGGTCAGTAAGAGAAAGAGCAGAGGAGGCACAGCAGGCTTGAGAGGGAAAAAGTAAAGTAGTAGAGATAAGAGAAGGGATGCCCATGGAGAAATGAACACACCACAGAGGAAACAGCATGGTTGCTATGGCAGAATGGGGAGAAGGTTCTGCCTTGGGACATCTGGAAAGTCATGGGCTCTCATTTCAGCATGGAAGTGAAAGAAAACCACAAGATCTTAAATACTGAATGCAGCCTGGAGATAACAAAAATCTGAATAGAGACAATAAGGAATATTCCAAACTCTGAAGATCTCTAACATCAGTAAAGAAGGTCTTTATAAATTAATTTGAATAAATTGTGTGTGAATAGCATAATTACAGAAAAATGTGATGATGATCAGTGGCACTTTGAGTAGCTTGCAGAATGTAGAGAGGGAAAGCAGCAGGTCCAGCAAAAGGCGATTGCTGTAGCCCAAGCGTGAAATCATAAAAGAATAAATGCTTTCCTTATAGGATCTGCTGAGGTTACAGCCTAAGGTTGTAACTGTGTCCATGAATTAGATAAAGCAGTAAAAACGTGCATTCTCTCCATCAAGACTTTTTTTTTCCTCGGACATCCTTTCTGGTTAACTCTTAAATAACAGACAGTAGATCCTGCCTAGCAATACTTGCTGATGTCCCCTCTCCATGTGCTTCTCACCTCTTGAGCACTGGGGGGTACCTGGGATGAAGGAATTGAATCCATCCCCTGTATTTGCCAGTTAATTTCTTCTTTTTAAATTCATCTTTCAGTATAGGAATAGTAGAAGAGTGACATGACCATTTGCCTTTGTTTTAACTAGATTTTCAGCAGTTTGTGTCAACTGGGATTTTGAAAGATAAGTTTAAGAATTGGGCATGAAATTTGCAGTTTTCCTCATGTTGTCAATTACTTTTCCCAGAAGATTATATCAGAAAGCCTGAAATGCTGCACAGGATTGTTGCAAGGTAGTATAACTGAAGGACTGCTTTGTTTCTTGAGGGAAAAGAAATCATTCTGAAAGGAAAATAGCTGTAAGGCTGAACTGGAAATCTAAAAGCGTAAATTCTGAAAGGAAGGAACAAAGTTCAAGGCAGTGCAAGGGTAATTTCACTTGCTAAGACCAGGATCTGTTAAACTCTTGCCTCAGCAAAGTTGCCAACCAGCAGTCTGAGAGGACAAACATCTTTATTAGTGGCAGCCACTGCCAAGAGGAAAGTGAACTCTGATTTGCTGAGTAAACTTTTGCATCCAACCTCTCTTTCCCTCACGTGGCCCCCACAGTCTGCCCAAAATTAATCTCCCTGTCCTTGTGCACTGCACATTTTGGCTCTTTGTGTGTTGTTTCTGGTGGCTCAGCTGCTCCTACCCCAGCCTGGGATGGGAGACCCAGAGCTGAGCCTGTCCCCAGCTCTCACCTCTGCCACCAAGGGCCACCTGAGCAACCACTGCCACATCACCAGGGAAAGCATGGAGTGGGACAGCACTGGGGCAGGGAAAGTGCCATACCTACATTCCCTGGAGGATTGCATTTGTCTGTGGCACTGTATAAATGTTATATTGTAATAATGTAGTCAGTAATTTTGCAGAAAGCTCCTGGCTTCATGGAAGATTAAGGGTTTTCTAGAGGTTTTCACATTAAAAAAAAATTGTTTCTTTATTCTTTTTGACTCTGCTTCGCTTCCATCCTTATCATCAGATAGTCATGGGAACTTTCCATGTAGTATAATGTGGGCTACTAATCCTAGTGTCCCCTGGTTCTAGGCAGGAAATGAAACATTCGATACATTAAAGAGACTTTTAAAAGAACCTGTTTTGATCCGTTGCTGTGTTTTGCTGGCATTTCTGGCAGACTCTCTGCTTTGGAGTAATTTTTCAGTATCAAAAAAAAAAAAAAGAAAAAAAAGATTAAAAAAAAATAACTAATCCTAGGCTGCTAAACAAAAAAATCTACTTTACTACAAAGTTCAAATGAGAGTCTTTGGAAACAGCATTGATCTGTCATTGATAGGAAACTTCACTTAGATTCCTTTGTGTTGAGATGTGTCACATGTGCAAAAATACTTTAAATTTAACTAAACTATTAGTATTTAATAATCCTCCTCTGTTCATATTAAAAATCTTTCCTTTGCATTATTTTACTTCTATACATGTCTTTTTTTAATCTAAGTGTCTCAGTCACTGTGCATATTGCCTACAGTGTGACTGCCGTGCTTTGCTGAGTACTCAGCGTTCCTCTGTTAGTCACTCTTTCTTCAGTCTTAACTGGATTCTTATGAAGCTGGTTTGTCTCCTTGAGTTCTACAAAGTTGTTTTCTTTTTTTTTTAAATTTTTAATCCAATTAATCCTAAATTCATATTGTCTTGATATTCTGGTAACTTTATTTAATATTCACTCCATTGCCTTAGTACTTTCCCAGTAATAAGGTGACCAGAACTGAATGCAATATCCAGTTAAGTTCCAAGGTTATGAAGAGTTTACAAGCTTCCAGTCTCTGTCATTTCTGATGTCATTTCTTACACAGCCCCAACATCTGCCTTTTTGCTCCCAAACCATGTTGCCAACTCATGTCCCTTTATTCTCCTTCCTAAGTTTAGTTCAGTGTTGCTACTTCCTGATTTATTTCTTCTGTTTGATATTAGTGTTAAATTATTTTCCCCAGCTGTGCATTTTTTTTTGTCTGAGACATTTGGAGTGAAGAAGCTGGGAAAACTGAAAGCAAGATGTAGCAATATCCATGCCTGAAATTCTTGGGAAATGAATGCAGAATATTCACTCTCCTGTTATTACTGTTGTATATTTAAGTGGTTGTGTAGACATAGATAGACAAATTACTGCAATCTACTGCAATGCACATGAGCTGTGTGCATGGTAAGTGCTATATCCCAAGTGAACTGCTGTACAATGTATCTGATCCTCTTTGTGCTATGCTATTTTTTTACCTGATTTTCATTTCTCTATTACTTGAAGATTATTTTTTTAGATTAGCTTTGTTAATGTTGTTTCATTCTTCCATTGGCTCTTATCCAGATTTTAGAAAGTCAGTCACTTGGGTTTTTTTTTTTTTCCTTTCCCTATTTTTCCTTTCAAGAAATCATTTCCTGCTGAAGTCAAAGCAGAGTACAGATATTGCACATTCATGATTTTTTCCTTCACTAAGGCAGTTTGCACTGCAGTCAGAAGGCAGTGAGGAACCACTTTGGAGCACTGGGATAGGCTTGCTGATTGGTATTATTTTGGGAGGGTATTGTTTTTAAACATTCAGATGTGTTAAACACTCCTGACCAACTCACTGTTTGTACTATAGAAATTATGTAAAAAATCAGTCATTATGTATCTTATTTTCCTACAGGACTTACAGATAATCAGCACAGATGAAAACCAGGTATTTGTGGCTGTACAGGAGTGGTACCAGACAGACACCTACAACCTGTACCAGTCTGACCCACAAGGTGTTTACTACTCCATCTTGCTGGAGAACGTCCGGAGCACGAAGCAGCCAGAAGAGAATGTCCTGATAGATATTCTGGAGGTAGGTCTTTATATTTCCCATTATGTGTAGTCTGTGGGGAGGATTTTTTTTTTATTATGAGTATAATTAATTTTAAGTAATGTATTTTCACAGTTATATTTAAATAGAAAGTCTAGGATTTCTGTCTTATTTGTAGCACATTGTTACTACTTATATATTTCCCTCTTGACCTACTAATGTGTTGTGCACTCTAACTAGATTCTTGGGATGGGTTTCTATGGATGTGCAAATCCAAAACTAAATTCTCTTTAAGATATTGAAAAGTGAATCTGGCAGCACAATTTATTCTTGAAGTAAGAAGTTATGCAGCTGTCTATGTACAGCTTTTTTCTTCTAGGTGACTCACTGGTGCTTTTCCTGGCTTAAGAGCTGGACATCTTTTAGCCAGTAGGGTTTAAGTAGTAATCCTGCAAGCCTTGTGCTAGGTTGTGTGAGCTCTGAAAGGCTGAGGCAACAAAATTAGATATTGGACAGCAAATTCACTTGCTTTCAGTACATGTGTTGTGCCAACAGCATTTTCTAGGAGACCAACTCAGCTGTAAACAAATCTATCTTGTATTTTAACATCAGCGCACTTGGCAAAATAAAAGACTATAGTGTTTTGGAAGAGTATCAGAGGCTGTTATCAATTCCATTCCTGTTTAGGGAATGGAATTTCAGTGTAATGAATTTCAATGTAACATTTGCTCTAGTTTTGTTCTTTCTGGCCATTATCAGAGCATTAAACTGGCTTTGGTCTGACTCAGTTTGTCCCATTACATGTAATTTGCCTGGTGTTAATATAAAAAAAAAACCAAAACTTTAAAGGTGCACCAGACTTCTTTGGCAAAGGTTTGTAGTAATTCTGGATACAAGGCACACACTGACAGAACTGTTAAATGGCTGTAATTAGACTCTTCTTGGTGGGGGAAAATGATAGTGTTTTCTTCCTCCTTATCTCCTCCATCTTTCTTTAGCTTTTTCTTTCTAAATGGCTGTGGTAAAACAAAAAGGTCTCTCATTACCAGTGATTATTTTCTAGACTCAACCTTTTTAGAAATGAGGCTTCCTAATGAGTGAAGCTACACACTGTGTGTAGCCACGTTCCCACAGGGTGATTTATTGACGGCATTAATTTGCAGCGTTTTACTCTTGGGCACCCGTGTGACCAAGCAAAGCTAAAAAGCAGCCGGGTGCAATCTCTGCTCCTTGCATCACCTGTAGCATGTAATTTCAGATAAGTTGTACAGAGATGCTACCCCTGGCTATCCTTTTGTCTACAAGAATTATTAACTTAATTCAGTTACACTGATTGTTTAATAATTTCCCAATGTTGCCGAGGGCATATTAGATAATGCAATTGTAGTTTATTGTGTGCTGGATCAATTTGTAGGGTTACATTAAAAAAGAAATGTACACATGATAAGGAAAATACACGTGGAGCCATACAATTCAATTCTTTTAAGCTATTTTTGAAATTGAGTTGCTTTATAGGAGAGCACTGATGGCTTCTAGATAGCTTGCATGATAAATAATTAGTGCTCATCTTGTTTACTAGAATGGGATCAAGTGCTCATAATGTGTGCATTGTTTACTCAGTATAAAATTGCTAATAAATAAAACACATATTGCAACCCTTGAGGATGGGATTTTTAAAATCTAATCTGGGTTTTCTCTTTTGAGCATTTTAATACAAGTATCCCATCTTGGGAAGGGGAACCTTCAGTGCAGAACAGAGACAGTCCTCAGTGGTGGAAAATTTCTCTTTTTGCCAGTGTGTAATTCTCCTTAAAATTTGTGCTGTTCATCTTTGTTATCTTCTGACTGCACTTAATCTTTTACTTGTACATATACCATAAAAATTTTAATAGGTATCTGCCTGTCTGTATTAATTTTCTTTTCAATGCTTTATCTTTTTTTTGCACCATATTTCTTCTCATGTTTCACACCTAAAAGGGAGCAATTTACAAATACTTGTTTAAAGAAGAGAAGAAAAAAAAATTAAACCCTAAATGACTGTCCAAAAGGAGCATGCCTCTGAATTATGTGACAGTATACAAGGAGCATGTCCTTGAAATTGTGTCAAGTGCTGCCAGTGTGAAGGAGTCACAAATTTGACATAAACATATTTGCAGAATGGGCATACCAATGCAATACCTCTGCATTGGTTCCTGCTGTGACTCCTTATGTAGATAAGAGCTACATGAGTTGCAGTACACTTTCTTCATGCCTTTTTTCCCCAAACAAATTGTATATATTTAAATTTTAGTCACAAACATATATGATATAGCAAGAATTTCTACATTTCAGTAACTGCTGCTAATAAACACTGTGGGACATCTGAACTGTGCTTCTTGCTACCAACTAAACAGAATATTGTTGGGATGAAATATCAGAAATGTAACAAGGAGCAATTAATAAGTCATAGCAGAAAGTCTCAGGAAATAATTTTATAAGGTACAAAGTGCTTTTCTAAGAGTACTGGGGAACAACTATCCGCTGAACTGTTTAACAAAATGGGTACTCTGAGAACTAAGCTCACAGTTCAAAAAAATCAGCAGAAAGGTGCTTTGAATTTCCTCCTGTTCAGCTGTCTTGAGCTTCTGGACTGTTCATTAGAGTAACTGAGCACTGCACAATGGTGAAATGTCTTCTTTTCCATAGCAACTTACTATTAATGTGAATCTTTTCCTTTCTTGATAGAAAGATACTTATCTTGCAATTTTAGATTAGGGAACTAAGTCAAGGAATAGAATGTACAGAGGAATTTGAGTGCCTTGGCATCACAGTCTAATCTAGGAGATAGATTAGACACACTTCATTTCCAGTATTTACAGAGTCAGGTGTGTATTTGTATAGGCCACAGGACAAATTAAATGGAAAATGCTACAGCAGGGGTGGGATGTTTAAAGATGCCATTTTTTACACACCATAATTTTGTGTTAGTTATTGGGTTTTAGATTAATGCACCACTCCGAACATGATATTTCTGAACTTGCTCTGAAGATAGATGCCTGAAACCTATTTATTATTTCAAGCAGGGTTTATGCCTTTCATTCAAAGTGCAACTGCTGTGAATTTCTGGTTGGCTTTTATCTTTTAAAGCAGCAGTGAGAGAAGTTAACTGAGACACTGGAAGAAATGTTTTCATATCCTTTCAATGTTTGATAGATTCAAACACTTATGTCCCATATTCTAGAGAGGAGAAGTTACCCTAGAGCTTGGTTAGATTAGAGATGGCAGTGGCAATGGAGAAAATTTTAGCCTGACTCCTATTTGATGATTATATGGAATTATTAAATATTCATTAAACGAGTGGGTGGGAAAGGGAAAGAGAGGAGAAACAAAAATAATCATAATGCAGCATTGATTTTGCCATCCACAGCTGAAGAGGGAAACCTCAGTTGCAGTCTCTGATCTAATTATTGTTTAAATATTTAATATTGTGTTCACTGGAAGGAAGACATGCACAGAAATTTTACCCCAAGTCTGCCTTCCCACGTAAATATTTGAACTGCCAGGCTTTTCGTGGCTGAGCTGTCTCTTGAAGGTAGACTATGTAAAAAATCCTCAGCAAGATTAAAATGCTTTCAAAGTAAAGAAAGCAGGTTCATAATTTCTTCTCTTCCTTTCCTTTTCTCACCTGCACTGCAAATAGTTGACTTTTATGGTATGTTTGACTTGGAGGTGGTTCTGAACTTTCAGCATCCTGGATAAGTAACCCAATCACATATGCATAGGATTTGAGAAAGAAGAAGCTTGTGAGAGAGTACAGTATTTAAATGTTTATACAGAATTTTTTTATATAAACTTATATATATATTTCCAAGTTCTAGGCTGTTACCATAACCAGCAGAACATTCACTTTCTCTGTAGGTTTGGATCAGTTCCTTCCTGTATTTATAAACAGTGAGTATCCAATCTGTAGCCTGCTGGTAGGGATGCCTGCTTTCACCTTCAATGCAGACTTCTGCTAAATGAATGTTAAATGGAGTTAAGAGCTGGCAGTTGGAAAAAGAAAGTAACAGTAAATATTTCAAATGAAAAAGAAAAGTTCAGAAGTGCATCATGTTATCAGGAGGAAAATATTCCTGATGATTCAAAGAGCTATCTGTCTTGTGCATTTATTTGTAATGAATGGTTCAGTTTTGTTAAGAGCCAGCACCCAAGGAGATTAGCAAGCTGTACTGTGCAGGAAATGTGTATCAGTTTAAATATGTTGTCCAGAATTTTCCAAAAATTCAGGAAGTCTTATAAATAGTGGCAAGGGAACCAAGAGCACTCTTAAGGAAACCTTCACTTTTAATAGAAGACCTTATTTTGTGCCCATGGGTGGAATATACATTAATATGTTAATAATTTAAATGTTAGGGCTAGAACTAAACATATTAAGTTATAATTACTGTCAGGTTGCTTCTAAAATTATACCCATTAATTTTGACACTTTGACTTGCAGTAATTTTCTAATACAGGTTGTTTTGAAATAAAATAACAGGCCAAGAGAAGAGGGTCATTTTTTGTTATTATTTTTTCTCCAGAGGTTAAACTGGTGAAGGGTGGACTGTGGAAGCATTTCAGATGCTTGAGAGGGTGATTCAGCCCTCAATGTGTCTTCCTCAGATGAACTGCCTGTATTAATTTCCTGCAAAGGACAACAGTGCTTCCCAAATCAGTGTTATTTCAAAGGACATGATACTGGGTTGTGTTATTGTAACGTGTTTGTGTGATATGGGCACAGAAATTCAGGTGAAAAGTTAGATGGTTGTTAACAATTGCTTTCATCATTTGTAGAACAGCATTTTAAAGATGTCCATATTTAAAGAAAATGGGGAAATTTTATTGGTGAGACCATGCTACCATAATTTTTATATTTTGCTATATAAATTAATGTGTTTTGCTATATTAAACATGTATTTTAATTAGCCTTCTGACATGGAGAGAACTGCATATGCTTTTTAAATACATTTAGAAATAAAAATCAGTTTTTAATTGTCCTTGCATTCCCCCTTTCTCCCTTTCCTCCTATATTTTTGCCTTCCTCATATTTTTTTAAGGTATCATCCACTTTCAGTTTCCAGGAGAAACTACCTGAGATACACAGTTCAGAGCCACAAAAGAGCAGCTAATCAGGGATAATCCTTGTTGAAAAAAACGTGTATGTGCTGGATGTTAGCTTTTCTTCTCTATGCTTCAGGTCAGAGGTGTAAAAGGAGTCTTTTTGGCCAACCAGAAAATTGATGGGAAAGTTACAACCCTGATAACCTACAACAAAGGCCGTGACTGGGATTTTCTAAACCCTCCAGACATCGATATGAACGGCAAACCCACCAACTGCAAACCTGTAAGTGGCTCTTTGTGGTGTATCCTCCCTCTAAAGTCTGCAAGAATTACCTGCATGGTAGGGTGTGCAGTAGTTCCAACAGCCCAAGAGATTTGTGCTGAGTTTAGCAGCCAAACTAGCAGGGAAATGGGCTTGCATTGCATGGTCTGGGGTTCCACAGGCTCTTAGTCCAGTCATCATGTAGAGTGAGGAGTCAGGGCTTTCTGGTGCACTGCATTTCATATTTGAGATCACTTTGACACAAAGAGGGCACATTTCTTGTGTGTCAACCACACAACCCAGTTCAGAATAATCATGGCAGTCATTTGTGACTGGATATATGGGGCACATCATGACTCAAACACAGATTACCAATAATTTTTCTCTTTCCATTTCTTCATGTTTTTGTTTCATAGTAAACCAAGGTAACCTTTGGTTCCCTATTAAAGGGAGCTCCTGACAGTTCCTTGAAAATGAATACCATGGTAACTTGCATAAAGTATTCCTTTCTTTTTGTAAGATATTATTTCTGTTTGTTTAGATGTCCCAAGTGCCCATAGTATTTTATTATTTGCAAGGCTGTACTGAAAGCCTTATATTTTTCCCAGTGACTCTCTGCTCCTGGGGAGTCAAAGCTCTGCATTGGTGGGCAAAATAAATGTTTGTAGTCCTGCCACTGCCAGAGCTTTACTCCCTCTCCCCACGGCAGAAGTGGAGGGCTGGAGCTGCTGGCTCCCTTTTGGAGAGTTCAAGGCTGTGCTGCAGGGCTCCAGCCTGCAGGGTCTGGTGCAGATCAGTCTGAGATGAGTGGGACAATGGCAGTGGCAGCAGCTCCCAGGCTGAGCTGGCAGCTGGCCCCTGGTAAAGCTCCTGGTCACATTGTTGTGAACAATTTGACCTTTGAGTGCACTGCACAAAGGGCAAGAAGCAGTAAGTTGCCTAGCAAGGAGACATGATGTGTCCTAAAGTCATTATGCTATTTTTCATACCACTTTTTTACTAAAAAAGTCATTTCAGCCCAAACAGTTGTTTTTAATAATAACTTTACTATTTACCTGGGACCAACAAACATGCAATACTTGTTGCAGTTAGTTAAAATTTTTAAGCAATTATTCTGCCAGAAGCAGGTTTGTATAATAATGCTGACTTCATTGAGTTTGGAAATCTTTTTGTTGAGACAGTGACACACTATGCAGACATCACCAGAGACTCTTGATATAAAGTGAAGACTGATACTTCAGACTGGAATTTGGCTCCATGGAAAGCAGCCATTATTTTTCTTTTATGAAGACATACATTGCTGAAGCTGCTCCCTGTCTGGGCTTTCATTTATTCTAGGAGCATTATTGATAGCAGTGATTTTTAAAACCTGTTCTCTGCTTCTTCCCCCACAAGCCTGATTGTCACCTGCACCTGCATCTGCGGTGGGCAGACAACCCCTATGTGTCAGGGACAGTGCACACCAAGGACACTGCACCAGGGCTCATCATGGGGGCAGGTAAGTCCATGGCATTGCTTCTGAACACCTGAAATCTAGCAGGGATTCTTTGTAGAGCTAGTCTTTGGATTTGTAAGAATACCATGCTAAAAACATTGCCAAAATAAGGCCTTCCTGCAGAATAATCCTTGATCAAACAATTCCATATATAAGTTAAGGGAACGCTCAGAGTCGTGTCCTCTGAGAGAGATTTATATCAGTCATCATGCTCTGCTGTGCTGTGCAGTCCCTCCTTCCCCATTAATGCGCTGTGGAGGTGTGGTGGTGGCTGAAGGACATGTCCTGCATTCTTTTTCTCTGGAAGTGATGTGCAGGCCCTTCAGCATCATGAATAACCAATGGGTCAATCCTTTGTTCTTTAAGCCTGGATAATTTGTCTTGTAATTTTTATTAATTCCTTTCTGCCTAAAGAGAGAGGAATTGAAAGAGGCTGTGTTGGGAACAATGCTGGTTGTGGCTTCTCCATTATAACTTACATATGGAGTTATGTCAGTGTGAAGTGGAATTTAATAAAGGAAATTCCATTGCAGTGTTAAGCACTCATCAAGAAAAATATTCACATAACTCAGTTTTGCTTTGTATCTTTGTAATCCATCTATTAATTTTATTTAACCTTCTGTTTATTTGTTTCAAAACTGTCTAAATGTTAACAATACTAAGAGCTTTTTAAATTTGTATTATTTTATTCTTATGTTATGGATAATGTCTAGGTGAAATGCACACATGTAGGCTTCTCTTTTCATAAAAATGCATCTGTTTTTAATGAATAATGGCTTCTACTTTATCTTACATTAGTCTCTGACAAACAGCTTACTAAGTTGAAAGTTTCCTGAGAATGTCAAGGTGAGAATATTTGGTGCTTAAAGAGAATGACAGCTGCCAGTACTGGTAATTTTTAATATAACTGAAGACTTCAAGTTTTTCTGTAATGTAAAGGGAGTTCAAAGTATTTTACTGCAGACAGATCTATATGGTGAAATGCTGCTATGTTTTTATTGGTACAAATGAGACTAAGAATTTGTGCAATGCCCTTGTAGATAGATTCCTAATATGTGTTCAGGTCAAACTTCATGAATTCAAATGTTTAAAAAAATATCTTCCATGTCAAATGTCTTCTTTTTTCACTAAAGCACTCAAAATGTAGATTCTTAATTTTAGCCTTATCTTATCATGGTTAAATGCCTTCCATTAGCAAATTAATCAGTGAGATTTAATTAGTCCATTATTCTATTTCATTTTTCTTTCTGTCTGCACTGTAATCTGATGTGTTGAACTGATATTTGTTGATATGTTGGGTTGTGTTCTTTTGTTTGGTGTTTGTAGATGTTTTTTAAATACGCTGTTTTCTGAGATCACATTAGGGAGGGCAGGTGGTAGAAGAGCATTTTGCCCTTAATTCCTTTCTAGAATGGGGTGACATTTATCACTGTGACATTGTCTTACTTGACATTGTCTTACTCTGCCAGGTAGAGAACTTGTCAACAACTTTCCTCAACATGATCAGGAGGGAGTGATTTTGATAACGTTCTGATGTCATGAAGAAATGAACTAATATGTTAAATTTGACTTGCCTGTGGAGCAACCAGTAATGTAATGGGAATGGTAGAAGGCACCCTTGCTCATTTGCAAGCCACCTTGCTGTTAGCTACCTACCCCCTGGGCAAGGTGGTGGGAAAGTGGAAAAATTTGAGTTCAAGCGAGTGCAGTGTGTCCTTTTTCTGGTAGAAGAAAAACTTCTGTAGCTGAAAACAGAGCAAAGGGATCTATTTTGGAGCCTTAAAAAATACTATAGAGCAACTGCATCCCCTTGCCAAAAGATGACCTGAATCAACTCTGATTTTGACTTGCATTTACATTATTTGGATGCCCAGGTCATCTGGATTCAGTGCATGTGTTCAGTCTTATCTGGCAAACCTGATACCCTTTTAAACTTACTCTTCTTATCAGAAATTCTTTACATAGAGTGAGCCTGAATTTCCTTTGGCCTGATCCTTGAAACTGATAATCCTATATGTTGATTCAGAATCCTGAATCAACGTAAGTATTAGGTTCTTAGTAGATCCAGGAATCAGATTATTTGGGCCACATCACACACTATTGGAATTTTTTTGTTAGATTTAGGGAGTTCACATCTCTTCTGGAAATGACTGAAGGTGATAAGATCCGTGAATGTCAGTTGATCACAGCATGTCTAGGAGTCATCAGTGCCTTGTGCTGTAAAAAGCAAAATTATTCTTGGTGTGAAATAGGTAAATAATTGCCAGCAGAGAGAGGGAATTATTAATACTCTGGCAAAATACTGTACAGTGACATTATTAATACGACTGTGTACAATTCTGATAATCAATTTTCAGGACCGGTGAGCAGGTGCTAAGAATGTCTCTTTGGCAGTTGATGGAAATAGAGAATATTTACAAGAAAACCCCCATTAGCTGAAAAACTAAAGGACACTAAAGAATATGCTTTTTTCTCTTGGCAGGGTAACCACAGGGTAGAAACAAACAAGTGATGCAAACAAGTGGATAAGAACTGGAAATATGGTTCCTAAGCATAAGAACCCTATCAATCAAAAAATAAACAAAAAAAAAATCTCTTTACAAAGTGGATTTTGGCTTCTTTCTGGGAAGCTTATACAACACAGCTGCTTTTGGTAATGGGAAAGCTATTCCGTGACTTAAGTAAAGTTTTGATATGGAAAAAGCTGGAAAAATCAGAGATCAGAGACTACTGAATATTGTTTTAATTTTAAAAAAAAGGAGTAATTAACTGGTGAACTGCATTTAACACCTAGAAAATTGGGAAAATTTAACCTCTTTAATAAAATTATAACATTGCATCCTTTTAAACTCATGTTTACAAATAAAAACCCCACTCTGTTAAACTTGCATAAATAGTTCTAAGGAACTCATATTTTTAACTTCTGTCTATATAAAAATTGTTCAGACAGAATATTAAATTTTGTAGCTCCATACGAGAGTGGTATTTTAAATAACTGCTTTGCTCTCTTTAAGAAATGCAATAGGATTTTGCATTTACATTTGATTTTTGTGCATTTTAATCTTGGCAACGACTTCTATTTCTCACAGCATCAGCTATGAAATGTCTGTCAATTGATGTGTAAATTTTTACTATAAACTTGCTAAGGACTTTTCTATGAAAAATGTTTAGAGTAGTGTAGCTTTTTCAGGTGCTAGTTTACAATAATTGCCTGCTTAGCTTCCAATCCAGATGGTAAATCAAGCAAGCAGTAAATTCTGCACATTCACACAAATTGAGGAAGTACTGGAGAAGTTCTGTTTACTTTTTCTCATATCAGGGCCAAATATAATTGCATACATTGTGATGAATTTCTATCATTTTTCACAGAGGTAGCACAGTAGGATGCCTCTGTCAAAAAAGGATAAGGGAACAGGGAGATGATTGAGCATTTTCCAGTACATTTTGAAGTGAACATTCTAAAATTCCTTTAAATTTTTGTCACATTCCTCAATTCTGATTCCCCACTCCCTCATCTGAACACATCTTCAGCTTGCCAGGCAAAACTTTGTGTCTGGGAGATTTAAATACAAATTGGTTGTATGTTTGTTCTATACTGTGACTACAAGATTGCAAACCATGAAATTTTAACTTATTGTGCATGGCCCAAGGGATGTTACAACTGTATTAATTACCAGTAATCCAGGCAAGGCTCATCTCTCTTTTTGGAGTAGGTGTCTGCCTGTATGCTCAATTTAAATGATTGGAAAAGATTTTCCATATTAGAAGGATTATCTAAGCATTGCATATGGGGATTATTTCTTCTTACTGTAAACATGTTCAAAGTCACATATAAAAATATGGGTAAACACAGTGATAACTAGCACTTGAAACATGTAAATTGATGGTAAATTTTAAGGGAAGTAATCTTCCATATTTTTTGTGATCCAGTAAGAACCTGCAAAAATTTCCCTCTTGAGATCTATATTGAGAGCTGTGTTTCTCACAGCTGTACCCCTTTCCAGAGAGCTTTGCTGGCCACCAGACATCACTGGAAAACATTGTTTTCTTTTACATCCCTGTGCTATCAGCTGCTAAACTGTCATGTGCAGAGGTACATGACAAAGCTTGGAAAAAAGCTATGTTTAACAGTAGTTAGTGCCTCTGTATTCTAGTTTTTGGTACTGCCACCCTGCTAGGATGGAACACACGTTTTTATGCAGTTACTTAAAATCAGCCTTTACTCAGACAAGTGAAAAAGCAAAAGAAGATTTCATGTATCGCAAAACACATTTTGAAAAGGTTTCTAAGAATGCAAGTAACAGAAGTGAAAAATTACTGTTCCTAATCAAAAACTGGAAAAGGCAGGCCAAAATATTTCCTTTTGCTTCCTGAATAGAAGCAGTGTCAGAACATAACAGCAGAGCAAAACTGACTCAGGCTGAGTCCATCTAGCAGAGTGTCCTGGCTGTGTTGGCAAAAGCCTTTGGGAGAGTGTTTAAGGACAATTCAGGTGTGCATCATCCCCCAGGCATTGGAGAAGACACACAAATGAGTCATTTAGTCACAAAAAGAATACAAAATATTGTAAGACAAATTTGAAAAGTTTCTGTATTACAAACAAAACTTGCTGAAACTGGATGGCAAACACTCTGCATTGTGTCAGAGGAGTTTTCAGGGCACTCAGATCAGAAGTCCTGCAAGAATGGTACCATTTGTAGCTGTGGCTAGTAAAACCTTTTCGTGGTTTAAGTCCAGCCAGCAACTAAGCATCACACAGCTTTTTGCTCACTTCCCCTGCAGGAGGATGGGGGGAAGGGAATTGGGAGGGTAAAAGTGAGGAAACTCATGGATTGAGATAAGAGCAGCTTAAATAACTTGAAATAAATAAAAATAATAAATTGAAATTAAAAGAAAAATGAAAGAGAAATGAAATCCAAGAAAAGGAAGTGATGTAAGTGAGGACAGTTGCTCACCTCCAACCACCTGGTGCCCAGCCTGTCCCTGAGCAATGCCCCTGCACCAGCCTCTCCCCCAGTTTATTGCTGAACATGCTGACACATGGCCTGGAATATGCCCAGGTCAGCAGGGGCCTGGAATTATAACTGAGCCCACCAACTCCTTTTGCTCTTTTACCAAGAAAAGACAGTAAAAGTAAAATCAGAACTAGAAGTCATGTCTGTCTTTTAACGGAGCTGCAAATACAATGTTGCTAATGTCATTATTAAATCAGCTGGATAGAAAAGGCTTTTTAATGAAGCACAAGTAGATGCTGTTTAGTTTACAGAGTAATTTTCCATTAGCAAGGCAATTTACCACTGAATTCTTTAAAGAGCAGATCCCTAGCAATACTCAAAATCAAGACCTACTCCTGCAAGTAGAATTCAGTAAGTGGTGAAAAGAGGTAGAATAAACAGCATTTATTCAGGAGCAAAACTAACACTACATTTATTAAAGTTATCCGTGTACAGAAGAGTGTCGACTGACAGCAGTATATTAGATTCTAGCAAGCAGATAAATATTTCTGTTTTCAGCTATCCTACAGAAAACATTCTGTGATTAACTTCAGAAACACAAGAATATGTCCATTTGCAGGTGATACAGCAGTGAAAAGTATAACAGAGGAAAGTAAGAATAACAAAAGAAATGTGTTTTGTATACGCAGTTTATCAAATCTTCCTTCCCTTCCTTCAGCCCTGAGAAGGTGATTTCTCATTCATATCTCCTTCTAGTGATCAGATTAATCTTAAAGCTGTATTTGGGGAGAAAATATAACTGAATTAATGTCTGCAGCTTTCCTTATGGAACTATTTCATTTGTTTATATTCATGGGAGGTCTAGGTTAGATATCAGGAAAAGGTTTTTCACCCAGAAGCTGATTGAGCTTTGGAACAGGCTCCCCAGGGAAAGGGTCTCAGCACAAAGCCTGCATGAGTTCAAGAAGCATTTGGACAATGCTCTCAGCACATGGTGTGATCCTTGGGATGTCCTGTGCAGGGCCAGGAGTTGGATTCAATGATCATGATGGGTCCCTTCCAACTCAACATATTCTATGATTCTATGAGCAACTAAATCTTTACTGAATTATGTGATAAATGAGGGAATGTGGAGTGTGTTGGAAACACGAAAACCCAAGAAAAGCCCAAGAATGGGAAGTGGCATCTTCTGAACTGTTAGATGCAATTTAAAGGAATTGACTGACTCCTATAAATTCCCTGATTCAATATAAGTGTTCCAGTCCTGTCTGGGATGTATTTAGGATTTAATGAGGTAGAGTTATCTTATTAAAGAGTGGAGCACATGCACCCTTGATGGTCTAAATAGTGTGTGTATTTTGGGCAGTGGGTGCTGTCATTCCTCTTGGGAACCTTTCAGCAAGCACACTCTGTATAAACAGATCTGGTGTAGTGGTTTAAAACCAGCTATTTATATACAAGTGAAATTTCATAGTGCTGTTCTAATCTCAAGTGTTTTCTTTCATAATCTCTTCTGCTTAAGAGGATCTGGTAATTTTCATCTTATTTCTACAGTGAAAACATTCAAACCATATATTTAAGTCTAAATCCCCAGGAGGATATCATTTAGAAGGAATATTGTGCCATGCATGATTCTCCCCTAGAACATGAAGTTGCCTGATGGTTTAATAATTTGCTATTTGAAGTACTGCATGTTAAAAGATGGAGATCTTGGTATCTGCTATCATCTTCCCTAAGTTTAACACTTCTCTTAACTTTGAATTCAGTTTACTGAATTCCCCTCAGTGCTATTTTTTAATAGCTATTTGTTAATTTTCTGCTTCATATTTAGGTAAATCAAATAATTCTGCTTTCAATTCTTTTGTATTTACTCTTTTTCAAAAGCCCTGTACCCTCTTTTCGTGTTGCATATTTCATCAGATTCTAGTCTAGCTACCACTTCATCAAGTTTTAAAGATAAAATATTTCATTTTAACAGTTAGAGTACAATGTGAATAACTTCACAGAATATTATTAAGGTCAAAGCTTCTGAATTTATGGATGTTCAATACTTACATCTTAAATATATGTTGTTTCATAATAAATTTTCAGCATGCAGGAACAAAACTAAAATGTTGGTCTCACTTCTGCATTTTGGTATTAGAATCAAGCCTCATTGCTTCCACCTATGGACAACCTAGCAATGAAAAGGAGGACTTTGAAATTGTACATATGTGTTTGTAAAGGATTTTGCTGGTTCTACCAGAAATGAAGTAAGCCTGTTGTGTTTAGTTCTTGCTCTGACCTGGAAACTTCTGACTCAGACTGGCATCAGGACTAGATCCAATCTCTCTTGCTCATGTGGATGCAACCCTTGTTTTCTCCTCTTTTGTGACAGGTAACCTGGGGTCCCAGCTGGTTGAGTATAAAGAAGAGATGTACATAACATCTGACTGTGGCAACACGTGGCGTCAGGTAGGAGGCATAAATCATCAAAGGAACCTGGAAATAACTCTAATGTACCAAATGTGATGAATTATGTAATGCTTAACAAATCTTTAGATACTCTTTTGAAGGAGGTGGTATTATTATCTCCAGTTTGCTTGAAAACTAAGAGATTAAGAAGGTGATTTTCTAGGACTCAAATTGATCAGGCTGTCAGGTTCTGCTGAAGTTCAAATAATTTGGTCTTTTTAAAGAGCCTATAAGTATCTTATGCAAAAAAACATAGTGTCTGTTTTGGTTTTTAATAATTTAAGTAATCTTCCTATGCTAATGATGAAGTGGACTTGGACTAGATCTTGCAGTACAAACATTCTGAGCTAAAAGACATAGCTTAGGTACAAGGGCAAAAATTCTTCTGCTTCATAGTCTGAAAGCTGTTACTAAAGCATAAAGTTTTTCTTCATTGAAACTGAGACAATGAAAAGATATTTTCAAAAAATAATAAAATTTTTTAAATCTTTTGGCATGATTTAATAATTCAGGGACTACAAATACCAAAGAGTTAAAAAGAGAGCAGTGATATATCATAATTCTACTTGAATTCTGGATGGCTTTTTCTTCCACTGGCTAGTGTCAGTTCAAGCATTTCACCTTTCTCATGTGTTGTTTCCTAAGCTGCTCTGTCTCAGTGTGCTGGGTTTGCCCTGGCTTGGCACCAATCTCTCTCTGTCACTGCTCTCCTCAGCTGGACAGGGGAGGGAGAATATAACAAAAAGCTCTTGGGTAATTGGTTGGTCACCATTTACCATCACAGGCAAAACAGACCCAACCTGGAGGGTATTTATTTGATTGCCAATTAATAGCAGAGTAAGATAGTGAGAAATATACCCAAATCTTACACCACTTCCCCCTACCTCTCCCTTCATCATGGGCTCAACTTATTAATTTTCTATCTCCTCACCCTGAGCCACACAGGGGGATGTGGAATGGGGGCTGTGGTCAGTTCAACACACATATCTCTGCTGCTCTTTCCTCCCCTCAGGGAAGACTCCTCACACTCTTCCCTGCTCCAGTGTGGGGTCCCTCCCACAGGAGACTTGAACTTCTTCAACATGAGTCCTTTCTTCTTGAACTTCTTCAACATGAGCAGTGATACTGCTATTGCTGATTGACCCAGCCTTGACCAGTGGCATGTCCATCTTGAAGCTGGCTGGTGTTGGCTGTAGGATGTGGGAAAGCTTCTCTAGAAGTGTCTCAAAGAAGCCACCCCAGTGGACTTACCTGCTACCAAAACCTGGCTGTGCAAACTCAATGCACTCAGCATAGGGGTATTTTCTTTCTCTGTATATGTATATAGAAACAATACACAATATCATATCGATTCTACTTAGATATCCAGGATTAAAAAAAGCATCCTCAAAGGACCAAAGTGTTTTCAAAAAATAATTTAATTTCAGTTAGTTCAGCTGAAATAAAATTTTGTTATTTTTAAAAACCATTAAGTGTGAAAATATTCTCAGTAGTGTTACTGACTGAGCTTGGGGAATTTGAGGTTAAAAGGTAAAAATACAGACAGTTTCTTATATTGCTATTGTAGGGTTCCATTAGTACTCTGCAGAGTACTTTAAAAAGAATTGGGTTATTTTTGTAATGATAATGTCCTTTGATGTTTAAAAGATAAAATTTTGTACCAAATTCCATCTTGAAATCTAGCATACAATAAATAGGTGTGTAAAGAGGAATGAGATGAAATTAGTATTTTCACTGCTTTTTATTTGTAGAGACACACAGGTAAATGATATGTGTTACAACTTGACCCTGAGGTGCCAAATTATGCTGTAAAATCAACCACAAACTGATCCCTCATTGTGACAGTCAAAATGGCAAACAACATTGCTAGCTCTATTTTAATTGAAACTCTTATGAAGCCCTTGAAAGAGCTTACTAAATTCTAATATTTGTGATCAGAATGAAACTGTAGATTATTTTATGTATTTCATGGCTTCACTGTGCACAATTAAACAATTCTTTCAGAGGACAGCAGCACATTTCCTTTCTCTGCAGGAGTTCTTACAACAAAAGAGAAGGCTTCAGTCAGGTGATACAGGAATTTAGATAATTCAGTAAATTGCAGGTCCTGTGAGCTGGTGAAATCCTGTGCTTTGGCACAACACTTTGTCTGAGTTTAAGTCTCAGCCTTGGAGACTGTGGTTGTCATTAATGAGGGCCTGGCACCTTTCTCACAAGCTCACATGATGTTACTGAGCTGTGTACAGAGGAGGAGAGGAGGAGAGTGCTTGTGTAGAGAGACAGAGAATGAAGAAAAGCAAACATAAGAGACTTTGGGGAAATTGTAGTGCAAGGAATTAATTAAACCTTTATTGCCATAATAGCAGTATTGGTTCATAGAATAGTGGATTATAGGACTGTGGGGAAGGTCAAAGATCCTGTAATTCAATGATGTGCTCTGAGAATCAAACCTTCCATAGCTTGCATTTGATGTGGCCATGTAAGGGTTCAGGAAGACTTACCTATAAACACAGCCAGAGTTCATAGACAGAAATGAATGCTTAAATAGGAGGTTTTGATATTAAGTAAATTCTGGTGATAAATAGAAATATCCAGGAAAAAAATCAGAAGGTTGGTGAGGAGGACTGTAAATACAGTCAAGTGATATGCAGGTGTCAAAACCCACAAATATAATATTATTAATTTTTTTGACCTCTGTGTTAGGTCAAACATCTGTGTTTAGATAACATAGGCCTGTGATAGAGGCACAGTATCAAACATGCTTGAGATCCCTGCTCTGCTGCTACAAAGACCAAAGCAGAGTGGTAAATTTGTCTGTGCAAACCCTACAGTACAGCAGGCTGGGTGATCCTCTGGCATGCACTGAGCTCTGCAGTGTCTGCATCCCCACTTGTATGTCTTTGCACAGGTGCTGCTTCTGGGCTCCCCTGGTTGGCCAGGTAATGGGGATAAATTTATTATTGCATTTCATCCATGGTTTTGTGGTTGTTTCTGCATCCTGCCTGTGTCAGCTCATACAAGGAGCAAAACCAAGAATTGTTATTATAAACAACCATAATACCACTTGTGTCCAGTTGTTCTTCTACCTTTCTGTTGCATAGCTGAGCTGGTTGTTGGTATATCTTGAAACCATCACTCTTTTGTTTGAAGAAAACTGAAAATTATGGCAATGTACTGTACAACATTGCACTGTAAATAGCAGTAGTGCTTTAGGAGATGATTGGCAGGCAGCTTAAACATCCATGCCATGAACTGGACTGTAGAAGAAAGGAATCTCACCTTGACATTTCCATGAAATATTTGGGCTTAGAATCACAGAATCATTACAGTTAGAAAAGACACTTAAGATCACTAAGTCCAGCTGTTAACTTAAGTGCCAAGTGGACCATAAAGATGTATCCTTAGGTGAATTCATGTTTATTTGAAAGATTTCTCTGTCTATTACACCAGGAGAACAATATAATAAAATGTGTTAATGAACATGAACTATTAGGATACTCTGTTGAGTGCTAAGGATTACCTTATGTATACATATGAGTGGTTTTATTTTATTATAATACTGGAATCTGTTCACAAGTCTGGTTGCTGTTGTTATGTTAACAGCATCTGTTACAACACTGTACTTGAAATTCAGCAAAGTATTTATACACCAAAGAGTAAGAGAAAGGTCTGGATTTCAGAGGAAATGGCATAAATAAAAGGAAGAAGTCAGCAATAATAAACTTTTCATATTTGATCTGCTACCAGAGTAGCTCTTGCAGCAACAAAATGTTCAGCAAAACTAATGAGGTTGCAGAGAAAGCCTTTTGGATGTCTAGGAACTAAATCTAGATCTCTGGAGCTTTAGTCTGCGGGTTTTTCGTTGGAATGTTATTTATCTGTGTCAAATCCTTGTGTATCAAAGCAACTTGGAAAACCTTTGGTTAAGTGAGAATACATGTTTTCCTGCAGGCATCTTAGGAGATAGATGGTAACACTTATAAGCACAACAAAATAGGATGTAATTCCAGCATTCCAACCCTGAGGATGTCCAACTGTGGCTCATTCTGTGTAGAAAAGCTTCTGTTTCCATATTTAAATTTAGTAATGGATATCACTTGAAATAAAAAAGTAATCTCAGGAACTTTTGTTTATTCTTGCAACTTCTGTAATGCAAAGTAAAATTGTATGGCATCTATTTTTTCTAGGAGTACTTAAATATGCTCTCACTGGTTTTATGGAGCTGTCCCAATTTCTTCCAACAGATATACTGGCCTAAAATAGCTCCTGCATTGTTGGGACAGATGTAGGAAGAAAAGCATTTACAGCAAAAGGAAGAGGGTAGAATAGGAGTTGATATTGTGATTATAAAGCACAGAACGTGCACAAAAAATTACAGAAATAGGTTATAAAAATATTTTTCTGTAGTGGCTGGCTAGTAGTAAGGATCAGAATAGATTAATTGCCTGCTTTAGTTAATGACGAGAGGTTTATCAGAATTCGTGGCCTGCTGTGAACTCACATATCTTATCTTCATAGGTCTGAACTTCATCTCTCATGCTGGCACTACCTTTGCCTCAGTCCTTTGCAAAATGTTTGTCTTGGGCTTTTTTACCAGAAAGTAGAGATAAATATTTACCTTTGTGATAAACAGGCATGAAACTGTTCATTCTTTTCAATGTATTGAAGATGAACAATTATTTTCATAAGGCTTTCATACATTTTGTTTATAAAAAATTGAAATGTGTGCAAGAAGAGCATGAAATAACAACTGCATTAATATGCCTTTAACGTGTCCTCTGTGCTTTATAGTGTGCTAAAGCAGGGTTATTAAAATGCTACATGAAGAACCTACCATGGTGCTTTTCTGGGAAAGGCTGATTTGCATTAAGTGGTGCAGGTATCAGCTTCCTTTATCTTTGGTGCTAAAGCTATGGGAGACTTAGTGTCCCAGCACATCCTGTTGCATTTTGGTTTGAGGGAAAGGTCAAATAAAGTTTAGAGGAGGATCAAAACTCTGCTTGCTTATCTGACTCCAGCTGATCTCATCCTTTTGAAGTACATCTAAAATTAAAGTCTGTCCTTTACGGAATTCTCTTCTAAAATACACAGCTGGGGGAATGAGTCGGTTGGACTATCAATGCCTCATGTCGGGGGTTTGCCTGTCAATTGGCAACACTGAAAAACTGATCAGACACTTGAAGCCCTAGGATTCCCATAAAATATATTCTTACTAGATGAGAGGAAGACTGAGTTCTCAACCCAAATTAAATGCTTCCTATTTTTCAAGTAATTGTGAGTGTGCTGTAAGATATTTTCACCCCAGCTCCAGCTCAGTCTTTCTGAGAAATCCTCTAAACGTAGCATTTCATTTTGCCAAAAGAAGAAAATAATTTACTATTGTCAGTATTTTTTCATTTACAAGGCAAAGTAAAGCTAACCTTTATCATTTTCTCCTTTGCTTTGTCAAAGCATACGGAAGACTGAATGTTTGTCTATAAAGGCTAAGTGTGTATAATTCTCACCTATCACTTGGTTTTGTGTTTAATGAACTACAGAGGTCAATTACAAAAGTAAATCCTGTCTTAAAACAGATTTTAGATGTAAACCAGGAAAGGTATCTACCTGTACTTTTATTTTAGTACTGCTAGTAACCTCTAGAAAAGGAATTAAAATAATTTATGAAGTTTTTAATCCTTTGTACCATTAAATCAATATTACATGTATCTTGGTTCCAAACTCACAGTGGTCTCCATGGGACATCACATAATATTTGAAATTAAAATCACTGACACTGGAAATGCAGAAAAATTGCTTGCACCAATTATTTCATGTTCTATAGGTTCTGGGGAATATGTGAGAAAGTCACAGACAGCAGTACTTTTTCTTTTTTTCTTAGAATTAGACTGAAAAGCATTTTATTCTGCAGGATACACAGAATATGGCAAACACCAAAGTAAGGTGATGGGTCACTTGGTGATATATAATAGGAAGGAATGCAGAATGCATGCTATGAGAAATATAAGCTTGGGCTAAAATCACTTTAGGCAGTTTAATCTGACTGTGATTTGAACCTGAACACTTTCTGATTAACCTTCTTAATTTTCTTTTCTTTTACAGCTGGGAAAAATATAAGACTTGACATGACTTTTATGTTCTTTTCAGTTTGAAGTGTGGACATTATAAAGCATAAGTCTCTTAATTCTTGTTTGCTTGTTCATTTTATTTCAGCTGTTTTGTACATTTGCTTAGCTGGCCTTTCTTTGTCTGACTTGTAGGTCTTTGAAGAAGAGCACCACATCTTGTACTTGGACCATGGTGGAGTTATTGTGGCTATCAAAGACACCTCTATTCCTCTGAAAATACTCAAGTAATTCTACAGTCAATTAGAGTAGAGCTGTTGTGTACTCAAGACCTCAGGCAAAGTTCAGAGTTTAAGATAAGCATTTCATTGTGATCATGTGTGAAGCACAGGTGGAGTCAACTTAATTTAACATTCATTGAGTCAACAAAAATGCAGTTGGATGTTTACTTTAAGTTTACTCCATGGTGCTGAAGATACCATGGCATCATGCATTAATCATAATAAAATTTTCTTGCATCAGTGTAGGCATTTTTTGCTTAAAAGATTGTTCTGGAACTCTAGAGCAGAAGCTGTGTTCAGCATAATTGTTTATCTGCTGCTGGCTGGCACCAGCAGTGCGTGTCAGTGATGCTCAGCCTGTGCTGTATGTGTGGCTTAGGTGGGCAGTCAGGAGAGTTCATTGGGACTGTTAAGTCTCTGTCCTCTCCAAGGGCCATAGGGAAATTGGAAAATTGCCCTGAGTTTCTCTGGCAAGAGCAATTTAATGTAGAGTGTGGGAGCCAACAGGTGAAGGACTTCTTTGCGCTTATATGCTGTGTAAATTGGTGTGCCAGAATCACAGCTCGTCTGAGATATTCATGCACAAAGTAACTGCAGTGTGCATAGATCTTCTCATAGGTGACAGTGCAGCAAATGGCCTTCTCAGCCTGTATGGCAGGAAAGGTTTGTTGCAAAGCAGTTTGGTATAGAATATCAAGTTTTAGACTGCATGATAGTGCAGCAAAACATGGGAACCTTGTGTAATGGCACACAGAACTATAATCTTCAGCATAAAAATACATCCTTAAAAAAGACATTAAAAGACATAAAAAGACATCTTTACCACTTGTGAATTGGCTCATTTTTGCAGACCTGTGTTATATACATGAATAGGAACTAGGCTCTGTACCTGTACCTAGGCTCTTTTTTATCTGGACTGAAAGCCATCATTAACCTACTGTCCAAAAGACCTGAAGGAAATGTACAGAAAAAAAGAGACTTTGGGATGCACATTAGAAATATGTTTTGCTGATTCATCAGTATCTTTTAAGTGGATGGTAGCAGCCATGAAGGGCCACCCCACCCTCATACTGGTGCCTGGAGTTAGTGCACCTCCCATGTTGTACCAGTTGGCCTCTCATGTTTCACTGGTCTCTGCTTAACAGGCCTTTAGCTCAGAGACTAGTAGAAAGAATGAAATGTGAATAAATTAGCTTTTGAATCTTCAAGGTAGCAAGATAATTTGTTGACAAAGCTGTTTTTAATGGACCTGAGGAATTTTATTTTTGTGGAAAATTTATTACACCTTCTCATAAAAATTTGAATCCCTGGATAAGGTGCTGAGAAGGTCACATTAATATCATGCACTGTCTAGGCACACTCTATTTTGTGAATGAAAATCATAAGCTTTAGTAGTGAGGGAATTTTTAGAGTGCATTCTGCTTTGTATACCAATACCTGTAAATTAAAGCATTTTCTGCTTTTTTCCAGGTTCAGCATAGATGAAGGCCAGACCTGGAGCACACATAATTTTACCAGCACTTCTGTCTTTGTAGATGGACTACTTAGTGAACCTGGAGATGAGACACTGGTCATGACGTAAGGTTTTGGTTTCACCTCTGTTTTCAGGGCTCTCTCTCTGTATGCATTTGCATAGATTTTCAGCTGTGCATGTTTGAGATGATCCTTAAGTCAGTGGCTTTTGCTTCTCACAGTCACACAGACACTTACAGTAATGTCTGAACCTCCCTGGTATGTAACCTGTCTTTGAAATCATCTGACTGCAGTATTTCAGATTTTAAAAATTATGTTCAAATGAAATCTTGCAATGTTACCACTGGGGAGAGTGGAATAATAGGACTGCTTTACAAATCTGAAAGATGCAGGGGAATAAATAACTATTTCCTCTTGGGTTTTTTTTTTGTCTTCTACAGATTTTTAGTCAGATCAAAAATGTTAAATATCCATTGTCTTCACTGTGTAAATAACTATAGTATTGTCTTAGTAAATAGCACTGCAGTACTTGATGTAACCAAGCACTATGCTAGCAAATATTTATTTTTATTCTGTGCAGTGACAGAGGCAGATGCTGTGAATAGAGTTAAAAATAACCAAATTCTGCAACTCAGAATTGTTTATCCTCTTTATCTGTCTTTTTCCAAAGGAGCAGGGACATCTGGATCTGAGCTGCACATTTTGCTCCATCTCTAGGATAAATGCTAGTATTTTAGAAGTGTTTGAGAGTAAAAAACACCTGTCCAGTAGGGGAGAAAGGCACATGCTGCCTGCAGCCAGAGAGGGGAGTGCAAATAGGTTGTTGTGTGTGCTTCTGTTGTAACAGTTTGTGTGATTCTTTATATTTAGCTCAGTGTGTTCATGACAAGCTTTTTCTCCCAGGAGTTACAAATAGAGCTGCCTTTGACATGTACTGGTAGCATTTTCCTCAGGGAAAAATAAATTAATAACCCAGTGTATAAAGGACCCTCAGCAAAGGAGAAATCCTACTGTATGTAATGTACTTCCAAGGGTTGTGCCAAGTTCATAACACTGTGCAGACGTGGGGTTTGGACTGTTGGTTGTTTCTCTCTTTCTTCACTGCCCCATTTATCCTCCATTATGCATCTATAACCTGAAAAGAACAGTATTATGCCATATCTCTCTCTTTTTTCAATACAGGTTTATTTATGATATAATATATGCCACATGGAGACACTTATGCCTCTAAATGAGGGATTTCCATTGATTTCAGTATAAGTAGATGGATCAAAAGCTTATCCCAAACTGTACTTAATAGCAGACAAAATGATGTGTGGTGACTGTATGCTCTGGGCTTGGGGTTCTTTCCTTATTAAGTATCATTAAAAACAGTGATTCTGTGAAGATGTGCTTAAATACCTGGCTGAATGGGCTAAAGAGCTCTTGTAAAACATAATGCCTGTATAAAATCATCTATCTGAAGTACATGGAGCTGCAGCTAGATTTGGTGCATGAGCCCAATCTGACAACAAAAGCATCGTGTGACTGTATATATCCAAAGGCACAGCAAGAGTCTGACTCTACTGTGTCATGCCAGGCTTGTGGGATCTTACTTTTTAGCTAAGTTTACTGAGCATGGACAGCATCAAACATTTAATAGCACAAACTGGCCCTGAAGATTCATGCAAATTTCCTACCAGATTCTAAAGACAATGAGAGGAATAAACCTGCAGTATATGTTCCATTGTTGCCAATGTACCAACTTCCTGGTCTCTCCCACTGCTTTTGACTGTTTTCCCTTCAGGGTGATGTTGTCAGCCCAGTGGTGCTCTGTCTGACTTTATGTCAAGACCTTTTGTCGTTCTGTCTGGCTTAGTCCATTTTTCCTGAAAACCTATTCTTGTACTAAATTACTGTGCTTGACTTAATCTACAGTGATTTGTTGTTTTTGAGAAATACACATTCCCTGGAAAAAAAACAGAAATCAACTATTCTATATTTTCATTTGGTTAGAAAGAATTTTCTTCCTAGTAGAACATGGTAAGATGACCTTGTAAATGGTAATGGAAATAAATTAGTTGAGGAATCCCCAAATCCACTGCCAAGGACCTAGTCTGATATGTTTTCCTAGTACGGGAATTTGATTTTCTTCCTTTGGTATGGAATGTGCTTGAATAAAGACTTTGAATAAAGAATATGATGTCAAAATCTTCATAAATTAGTAGAGATAGCATAATTCTGAAGTGGGAAGGTAATAACTGAAAAAATGCGCAGCAAAATTAAGGAATAGATAGTATTTCATTTAAAGCTTCTAGAACAGATTCACAAAAGAGTCAAAAGAATATTTTACATGTCTTGAAATTGGCTGTTCAGGTAAAATCCTGGTTCCACTGAAGTCAGTGTGTGTGTAAGAGACTTCTCATTCTCCAGCATGGTGTCTGGGATATTGACTGGTCTTGTAAGTGGCTGGCACCTGAATTCCAGTTCTGTCCTCATTTATCCAAAATCACAGAATCATAAAATCGCAGAAGGGTTTGTGTTGGAAAGGACTTTCGAGGCATTTAGTTCTACCCCTCCTCTCATAGGCAGGGACACCTATATATAATAACTTGCTCAAAGCCCCATCCAGCCTGGCCTTGAACACTTCCAGGGATGGAGTATCCACAGCTTCTCTGGACATGGTCCAACACCTCCACCTTCTTCTTGTGCTGGGGACCCCAGAGCTGGATGCAGCACTATGGATGGGGTCTCATGAGAGTGGGCAGAGTGGCAGAATCCTCTCTCTTGCCTTGTGGCCTGCAGTGCTTTGGATGCATTCCAGGATAAATTTGGCTTTCTGTGCTGTGAGCACACACTGCTGGCTCATGTTGAACTTCCTGTCAACCAACATCCCCCACTCCTTCTCATCAGGGCAGTTTTTAATTCATTCCTCCACCCAGCCTGTATTTGTGCTTGGCATTGACCCAAACCAGGTCCAGGACCTTGAATTTGGCCATGTTGAACTTTATGAGGTTCACACAGGCCCACATCCCAAGCCTTCAAGGTCCCTCTGGATGGCATCCCTTCCCTCCAGTGTGTTGACTGCACCACACAGTTGGATGTCAGTGTGCAGATTTTCTACAGGAGGACTTGATCCCACTGTCCATGTTCCAGCAAAGGTGTTAAACAGCACTAGTCCCAATACTGACCCCTAAGGAATGTCACTCATTACTGTTTTCCATGCCAAAGTGAAGTGGTCTAGTAGACTTTACTGAAGAAACAGGAAAATGTGAACCTGGTTGCCTCAAGTCTACATTTCAGAAAGTTTTGTGTTTTCTCCAAAACAGAGAGGAAAGCCAAATGTTGACTTGTCAAAAGTTTTCATAAAACTCCGTTGTCATCTGTCAGTCAACATTAATCTAAATCATTCATCGAAATCCCCTGCAGTATTCAAGATATGTGCATACAAATGCTAAGGAAAATATATTTTATTCCATTGTGCTCTGCAAAAGACTTAGTTAAGATTTTTAGGAGTTTTAGTGGTAAAGTATTCAAAAACTTTAGGAGACTCATTCTGTTTTCAATCTGTCTAGATTTCCATTTCTAAAGAGACCTAGTTAGGAGTTTAGAAAAGATAAGCAATTAAGTATTCATAAATTTTAGGGAACTTGATCTGTGTAAAAATCAACCTCTAAGTGAGGAGCTCAAATCCAGTATTTATTACTAAATGAATAAGTAACGTTTGCTAAGACATTTTCTCAACTATTTTCATCAAAATAGTGCATGGACTAGTAGGTTTTATTTTGTTCTAAATTTGTAACAATGAAAGTTACTGCAACCCCATCGAACAATACTGCACAATACTTTATAGTTGGGAAAAATTACTTGCTAATACTGGATTGAGAAATGGCCTAACTCAGTGCAAAAGAAAGAAGTTTTGTGTGTCTGAAATATTGATGTTCCTCTCCAGAGGAAATAGTTAATGTAATGAAAGTTTCAAACCTGTTTGAAATACTTCTAAATCACATCTCAGCTTCTGGGAGTGTTTCCCAAACCAAGTTATTTAGATTGCAGTGTAAACCCAGTAGGCACAATAACATATGGTACCACAGACCACAGCCCCTTTTAAAAGGCCAATAAGAGGTTACATAAAAGAACTGTTTTTCTTTATGTCAGGTAGAATCAAAATCTTCCTTGTGGGTAATTGTATTTTTTCCAGAGGGCTATTTTTTTGTATTGTCTCACAGAATAACAACTTTGGATGCTGCTGGGAACTTTATGGCATCTCTGAACTCCTGCATACATATTTTGCTGTCTGGAATGCCCATTGTGTTCCTTTGGGTTCCTGGGTGATCATGGAAACAGGAAGATAGTCTAATTTTAACTTACTCAAAACCAGGTTAATGTTAATAGGTGTTAGATATTAGGTAGAGCTGTCTGGATTTTTGTAACTGTTGATTCTGCTAGGAATGTCAACCTCACCTTTAACAATGTCAATAGCAGTCAGCATTACATGTACTTTTTTGGACCTTATTGTCACAACTGGCAGGACACTCCTTTTCCTGTCCTCTGAGTATCTTACTAGGTGAAGGTACTTCTCTGTGTTTTGAATTCTTCTCTACTGACTTCCTCATACTGCAACACTTATAAGAAGTAGATAAAAGGTAGAGAAAGCCTCATTACGATGGAGAATAGCTGATTTCGGAAGGCAAATTCTGGGTTTTCTTTTCAGCTAGTTAATGTCTTGAATGAGAATCATTGCTCAGTTATGAAATGGTTGTTCTGCTCTTTGCTTAAGAAGGAACGTATCTGAGAGTAGTTAGAGGAAATGTGGTGAAAGAAGCATTGAAAAGCAAACTGCTTCTTCTATTCCATCCAATCTAGATATCAGCTAATGCAGATGTACAGATCTCTGTTCAGCAGCTAGCCTAATGCTTTTGCTGTCCCCTCTGTGGACACAGATGTTAGCCGAGCAAGTCAAAGCATTGCAGTGTCACCACCAAGTTGTGACTTTGGAGTCAAGACCTGGTACTGCCCCAGTCTCTCACTCTCTCTCAAAAGAAGTTTAGTGGGTAAAGTTTGTTCTTTAAATTTCTTTCCCTACAGTTTCATATTGTAGACAGAAGCACAGGAACAGGATGCTT